GCGATAGTGAAATAAAATCATTGCATAAAACTTTAACCAGTGATTGTTGTTCCATAAAGCTCTGTCTATATAATGATAATATCGATCAGGAAAATAGGACTATGGAAGTAAAACAAACTACCACCCGATACTTCTGTTCGATTCAAATCAAATGAAATTCTGCCAGGACAGCAGCATTACATTCTCTTTTTCAATGCAGTATTTTAGTTATTATATTGCAGATGAACTGCATGTTAGATTTTTTTATTTAAAAAAGTGTCACAGATGGATACTAACACCTGTTAAATCAAATATATCAGTAAGTGTATCACTTGAAAATAAATAAACTGTACCAGGTAACTTGATATAAAAATCATCCCTTTGAAGGAACTAAATCAGGAATAATAAATCATTCAATATCAAAGGTAAATCAAAGACATTGTCGTGAGTTTTTTGACTATTTTCCTGGGCAGGTTATAGATGGATTGCCAACAAATTGACAGTGGTATAAAAAGACAAGTTATGTTTTTCAAATCGTCACTTTGTTTTCCTAACGCCAAGGCTAATTTCAAAATTTAAGGTAAGAATATTTTTTTTCTGGATTTTTCTTTTTGGGTATATATATAATATATATATATTTATATTTTTTTTTTTTTTTTTTTTTTTTACCTTTCGGTCATTTTTTTGTCATTTTAAGCCATTTTTGGAGTTGCGCACAAATCAAAAATTAATCCCTTTTGTGAACAAGTAAGGCCTAGGACATCCTCTAGAATATTACCTAGGGATTAAAGGTTGTAACTTTGTACTAATGACAAAGTTACGAAAGCACTGGCACAGGGCTTTAAGGACGTTTTAAGTTCTTAAATTTGTGTCAACAAAATGTTTGTTAATATTTTATTATTCGTAAATCCGGGTTCCGCATACTTTAAATAATTTGAAACTAGTAGAAGAGACAAATCTTCTTAGGTGATGTCTGTTGTTGCTATAAACAGACACTTGTACAACAGTGAACCACTCTCTATATACCCAAGAGATGGGTGATGTCTGGTGTCTTTATAAACAGACACTAGTACAACAGCGGGCCACACCAGAATCAAGGGAGGGCAGAGGGGTCATACGTCCACCACCCTCTTGCAGCCTCAAAGACAATTGTACACTCTTTAGAATATCACCCAGAGTTAGGCGAGATCAGAAGGACTGCCATAGGCCCCAGACGCCAACGGAATTTAGACGGCCTAAGATGAATTTTGAGCATTTAGGGGGCTTAATTTTTTCACTTCAAAAAAAGACCTATCACAGGCCCAATGGTCGGGTTTTGTTTTGTGCTTCTGATTGATAGTATATGGGGTTTTCGATGTGAATAATTTAATGTTTTTCCCCTCCTAGATACAGTCTGAAGCTCATTTAAAGATGTGGTCCCAGATATCTTTCAGATTATTAGCCGTGGTGTGTGTTATTTCGCTTTCTACATCACATATAATTCCTATTGGTAAGATTACTTTAAGTCTTTTACTATCGAAAATACTGGTCGTGGAACCAATATTATCGCTTGGCATTGATTGAGCTCGGGCATCCCTCACTCAATATAGATCATTGTAATGAAAGTTGGCAAAGACCAGACGGAAGACAGGATCATTGAGAACCTAAGTTATCAACCCAGTGGCGGAGCCACGGAGGGGCGGGAGGCTTAGGAGACAGCCGCCAACTCGCAGCCCTGAAAGCATCCCAGACATTCTAACGTAAACCTGGCCAAGCCTTATCAAACCATTTTAAGAAAACTGGCCGGTAGCTGGTAGACAGGATTGACGAGAACTTATCCTTGAAAAATAGTTATACCTTTGAAGATAGCTTAACGTTCGAGCAACTGGTAGTAAGATTCCTTGATTTTTTTCCTTGTGAAACATTACCAGAAGGTTGAGTAGAACCATGCTAAAATATCCCAACACCTACCCAGAGAGCATCTGGATTTCAAATGTCTCACGTAGATATATATATTTGTTTTTTTATTTCCATTGCAGTTCCTTTGGTCAACCCGTTAATCCGCAGTGAGTATAAATTTATCTTGATTAGCTGTAATGGGTAACATTACTATTCAGAAAGTCCCTAGAGGGAAAATAAAACCTTGCATGTTTAATCCCATTTGTCATATACTGGTATATTCACTAAAAAAAAGAGATGCTACTATGCCGTTGCACTTGGCACAAATTGCTACTCTTTCAGTGCTGGTATTTATTTTCAACTTGAATGATCCAGGCATGTTATGTCACGTTTACCTCATTGAATATGAAAAACAAAACAAAGGTCTAAGCATACAACGTTTTATGGGTATATGCATTTCTTAATTGTGAAAATGTGATAAAGAAGAATGCTCATTCAAATTGCATAAATAATAGGATTTGACCCCTTCATCTCCAAATTTTCTCCGGAGGCACGCTTTCATCACCCCTATAATGCATTCGAAAAAAAAATTCGCACACGCTCCCTCCAATCCAAAGTTCTGCAGCCGTCACTTCCGCTGTCTGTTGTAGTTTGAAACCTTCTATTTTTCAGATGCCATCATCGGTCGACAGATTATTGGCCGACAGATCCTCGGACAACAGCTGCTGGGCCAACAACTTGTCGGACGACAGCTTCTCGGGGCAGCAGCCCTTCAGCAGGGGCAGATGTTAGCCGTTAACCATGCACTCGGTGCTAACGCTGCCTTAGCAGGTGCAAATGCCGCAAGTGGTGCAGCTGCTGCTGTTGGTGCAAATGCTGCAGCTGCTGGTGCCAATGCTGCCACGACTGCTGCCGTAGGTGCTGCAACAGTCGCTGGTGCTATCGGTTCTGGTGGTATACCCGGAAACATGGGTTTAGCCGGAAACGTGGGTATACCCGGAAACATGGGTTTAGCCGGAAACCTGGGTTTAACCGGAAACGTGGGTGTGGCTGGAAACATGGGTGTGGTCGGAAACATGGGTGTGGTCGGAAACATGGGATTGGCTGGCAATACCATGACAGTGAATAATGTGGCTACTATACCTGCTGGAGTTACCATCACCAACACCAATCCTACTCAAGATCTTGGAGTTTTCACAACTGGAGGTAATTTTGTTATCTATAACGTGGGTTAGGGATAGTCTCGTCCAGAAATATTTTTGGAAAAGAACAGAAAGACATTATTACAATTGATGAACTATAAGCGATTAAAATATTGGCCCCATCACCATGGTACTTTGAAACTTATTTTTCTTGTACATGTATAGTTTGATCAATAAGGTGCAGAAGATAGGATGTCAACGAAGTCATGATCTGAAAAAACTGTTAGGCATCTCCTGTTTTGGGTCATTTAATATTCGACCAATCAAATGCTCTCTTCACCGAAAGATTTGTATTCTATAAGTGAAGGGAATTCTCGTCAGGGTAGTTACCCACAGAAAAGAAACTAAACGAAACATGCAGATCTACATTTGAATTAGATTCATCAAACTACTTACAATGTAAATCCATTAAAGTTTCTTTATAATTGCAGGATCAGCTGGTGCAGTGATTGGAACTGGATCGATGATCAACGGCGGATCGATGATAAACGGTGGATCTGTGATAAATGGTGGATCAGTGATAAACGGCGGATCAGTACTTAACACCGGATCAATTATTGGAAGCGGATCAGTGATGGGTGGTTCTATAACCGGAACTGACGCAGGGGAAGTCTTAGATTTAACAGGTCAAGAGAAGATCGGTGAAGTACTATCAACCGTGAACGGTTTGGTAGCGATTAATGTGAACGCTCAGATGATTCTAGGCGAGGTCGTGGATCGTGGAGTTCAGGGTATGTTCGTTGTTAATAACGGAGCCACCATTGGTCGAGTTATTTTGGATAACGCTAGTACAATCAGTAAGTACCAACTTTAGATATATACCGTTAAAGTAGTTTATACTTGAGCCCTCGGGGATCATTTCTATATTTAAAGTCTTGGTGTCCGATCTGGTGTCGACCTTGTTTCTGAACTTCATCGAGTAGATATTTGTTTTTAAAAAAAGACCTGTTTGCAATATCTTATTTCCTATTCTTCTTTAAATGCTTGTTATATATATTTCAAAATATAGGCCTATAATGTTAATGTTCACAATGTTAAATTATTACGAACTTCATACTTATACTTTGACTGCAATAGTCACCTTTCTTTTATCACGGAATGCAGCGATTTGATTGAATTGTCGAGCGGAAACAGCCAATCAGAGTCCTCGACAGAAAGGTTGTAAGCATTATGTGTTTGGACTTTCTATCGAAGCTTCTGATTGGCTGTATTTGCTAGCGCACAATCCAATCAACTGGCTTCATTGTCAAACTTCCATGATACAAGATAGGTGACTATTACAATCAAGGTAAATGTAGGAAGTTCATAATAGTTTGACACTGTGAAGATGTGTAAAACGCTGCATTCTGTTACTTTAATTATAATTTCACCTTTTTTCAGATTATAGAATATAATTTACATCAATATATCAACGGTATGTATAGTTACTTAATTCAATACTCTATATACGGCTGTACCGTACCTATATTAACAAGGTCATATTGTGGACTAATATCCTTTTTTCCTAACAAGAGTTACCTCCCTCGACAAATTATATTTTTCCGTCTTTTTTTCAGGTTCATTGACTCCATAAATACCTCATAGAGAAAGATGGAACGTGATAAACATTTGAAATTTTGAATTTGATTTTGATTGGACCCCGAGGGACTTGACGTCATATTGAATTAATGACGTCATTTAATATCTCACCTTCCCTGTTTAAGTAGTCAATGGACTGAACGTGACGTCAAAGGCAGGGCATGCTAACTGTAACTTATTAATATTGAAATACTAAAATTAGCTGGACTAATACCCTAAGAGCAGAATTCAAAGTGACTCTACACCCGATTATTTTGGGGGATTATTTAATGAGTGTTTTTATTTGTAATAAATTATTTTCTTAAATTTATGTAAGTTTTAAGTTTATTTTCCTTACGTCAAATGTTGGGTGGCTCGGTGTGGTCATTTCGCATCTTTGCTTACTATCATAAATACATTGTTGTTTTGAACAGATGTATGATAGTGTAGATGGGGCTTAAGTAGTGAGAATTATTTGAAATGGACAAATCCTGGTGACTGAACAACCATCTTCACAATGTCAAGATATGACGAACTTCATCTCATGCCTTGACGACAATAGCCACCTGTCTTGTACAACGTAATTATGTAAATGCACCGATGATAGCAGATACAGCCAATCAGAGGTTTCTAAGGCTCTGATTCGCTGAAATCGCCAGCGTACAATCCAATCAAATTGCTTCATTCTGTGATACACGAAAGGCGCCTATTGTAGTCAAGGTAAAAGACGTAAGTCGTAATATTTTGACATTGTGAAGATGCTGAACTCACGTCCAATTTAGTAAAAGCGCATTATGAAAACTGCCTTTCGAAATATCCCATTGGTCACATACAATGTGTCATTTTTAACATTTCTCGTCAATAAATGGACATTTTTATTAAGTCAGGATAAATCAGCCCACAAGCTATTTTGCATACAATTTAAATATAGGCCAGTTTTCATTCACTGATGAGATACCACTTCAAAATAATTACTTCTTTAAGTGCGAAAAGGTGAAGTACGATCAAGCCACCGGAGAAAATATTGCCCCCACTCCTTCCCCGCCCCCCTTCCTAAAAATTTCTGATACATGATGTTGAAAAACGCACCGTGCTTCATGTGAACCTTGTTTCTGTGTAGTCCGAGAAACTCTGAACTATCTACAAGTTCCAACAGATGATTTTGAAGGTTTGTCGTCTGGGAAAGAGTCGGGAAAATTGTACTATTCCTTTCTGACCCTTTCCCAGGCGACTAACCACCAAAATCATCCGTCAGAGCCAATATATATGGTCATGATATCTCGAATTAGCTTCAAAGTGGCACAAAATGATCCGACATTTTACTCAAAATTGATGTAGGCCTATGATTTGAAATTCCGAAATATTTAAATTCGATTTAAACGCTCCTTGTCGCTGGCGGCTACAGATCATAGTTAAAATATGGCCAGCAGTAGATAACTAATCGTTACTTCCGTTTAAACTTCATCGACATGAGATATAGCAGATTAAGGTTTGTCAATTTCAACCCATAGGCACTGAATTTCACAATCAGTCATCCGCCATATTGAAAATGTATCCAATCAGAAAACGGTGCGAAAATTAGCACCGCCCAGATTGAAATTTTAATCAATGACAATGAAAAATTAATATTCTGAATGACGGAAACAGTCGAGTTTATCCGGAGAGTTACGGACGGTACGGGTTGAACTGTGGGTACAGGTTCTATAAGGTGTTAATGATTTGTGGCTCAAGTGACAGGTTGAAGGTGTCAGGACTGTAACATCCCGAGGGGGTAAGAATATTTATGATAATGTATGTATTGTCTATGATAGACAGACGACAGTATTTAATGTTTTATTGTGGTCTGTCATCTACTATGAAATTTGGCTGTTAAATGACTTTCTGATTTATTGGGATTTGGTGACTAATCTAATCCTTCAGCGACATTCAAATTTTTTTTATGCAATCTGGCTGATAAGTCGCTATTCGACTTTTGGTTAAATCTCGGTGGTGAAATGCTTCAGCGACATTCAATAATCATTTTCACCGGTTGACAATGTAAATTGTTGAAACGTTGTGTACCATAAAACCCAGGAAAAATATACACTATGAACTGACGATGAAAATGTAAATTGTAGAAACGTTATGTTCAACAAAACTCTACGAATCGTATAACATAAAATTGTGTTCGATTCTTTACTCTTCAAACAGAACAAGCTAGCTATTAGTTTTGGAGAATGACATCTCTGTAGATTTACGTACAACTGTTATAAATTTCAGCTGGTGAATAAAATGGAAACGTGGAAATTATTGAGGCTAGTGATCGCCATCTTGTCAGTGACCAGTATTCACTGTGGCAGACACCGTGAGTATTAATTAGAGGAGATTGTTGGTGCTAGGGGGGTGGGGGCTGAAGCTGGGTTTATCTCAGCCCCACCCTTACTTTCAAATTTCTAATCATTTAACTGGGGAAAGAGTTGTCTGTGAATCCCCTTTGACCCCAACCAGCCACACCCATCTCAAGATTCCGATTCGCATTCTTGAACTCCTCCCTATGTAATCCCTTTTAGTAATCCTCTAGTGAAGTTATCCTTCAGTTGTAACAAGATTTTTTGACATCAATATTTATGTTTACTTCGTTATATTTATATTCGGGAAATTTGACAATAATGTTTTGACCTTATTTGAAGAGATGCTTCAATATCTAGACATATTAGTAGCCTAGTTCACTGGTCGACCACTGAATTGACCAAGTTTATAGACAGGAGTTGTATCCCTTTGCCAGCATTACGATCCCAAAATAACTAAATGTAAACAACATAACTGTATTTTTCATGGATAACTTATTTACCTTTATTTCATTTGAACAAATTGATACTAGAAAACATATTTGACCCCGTGGCTGTTTATTACATTTCAATAATATTAATCAACAAAACTAAGATATCGCGAACTGTTGATTTTAATTAATTTCATCATTAATTGAAGGGATACGTCTGTATTAGGTTTCTCCATATCACTGGGTCTCTCTATCTGTTCTTCCGTCTTTGAACATGTCACCCTAGTCTGTCCAATTTAAACAAAATACAGATCAAGATGGTCCGCTTTGTGATAGCAGTGGCGGAGCCAAAGGAGGGTTAGAAATTCGGGCAACCTCAGATAATCCCCCCACCCCCTCGGACGTAAACCTGTCTCCGCCTCTGAGTGAAAGTGGAAGTGATAGTGGAAGATTACATACATCTTCCGTGGATAGAAAAAAGAAAAGACACAAACAGTAATTTTTTATACGATAGCAACATGGCTTCAAAAAGACCCTGTCTACCAGTTAATCTTTGACCAAATCTCTTGACAATGATTTCACAAGGATTCTTTCTATAGCTGGTCCGTGGCCAAACCTCTTGGCATTGATCGTTCTCGAATTACCCGCACCCATTAACGTCTGGGTCGACTACGAGTAAAGTATCCATCAGAAAAAAACTCATTGAGAAAATGTCCAGATCTGTGTTTGAATAAAATTGTAATTTGTCCTCTAATAACAGTTAGTATTAATGTTTAACAGTATTTCTGTTTTATTTCAGTTGGTTTCCCGGTGTTTGGAGTATTCAGTCCACTAGTTCAGACACCCCATCTTAATCTGTTCGGCACTTTTAGTGGTAAGAATACATTTTTCTTTCGCGCTGGCTGTCACGGTGCATAGGACACAATAGGCACGTTAGTTTTGGGGTTTTTATAAAGCGTGAAGCCATTTTGATTGTCAAGAATGATATTAAGTGACTTCGTTAGGGTTAGGTAGGGATGGTCATATGTTTTTTAATGCCCATTTTTGTACCGTCGAGGTACGAATAGTCACGCCCTTTATCTTGTATAACCTTCTTAGTATGAAGTATGATGGAGACTGGTGTTAATCTGAGTTTCATTTGCCAACTCTCAGGCAGTTTTCGTAAATTTGATTCTTGTAGAGTACAAACAGAAATTCCACCGTTAATCTGAAAGGAACAGAATCTACTCGCCAGAGTGCAATATCTGAGCATAGAAATTCTGTGATGGGTGTTGATAGCGAGGCAGGACAGGCTCATCCTAACGGCACCACTCTGCGACTGGATTGGTCAACTCGGTCAGCTCGGTACACTCTTTGGAGAGTTCACATTTATAACTATTATTGTTTTTTGGGTACATTTACGTTGTACCTTTAGATTTAGACAATACGTATGCAAATCATTAGCCTGAAGTTTGATAATCGCCCCTTCCCTTCACAAGCTGACATTATATTTGCAACTGATGCGCTCTGCAAAAGAGTTGGTGGGTGACCAAATTTACTATTCCAGTATTAAGCTTTAATATGACATATACGATTCATGTCTTTTGTTTTTATTTCCGATTTTCTTGTTTAATCCTTATGGTTTTTTATTTGCAGGATTAAATGTGGGTTTAACTCATTTACATAACCCAGTTGGTGGTCTGCTGGGTATCCCTAACATCCGGGGCACCCCGACCATTTTACCTAACTTCGTGGGTCAAATCTACGCCCAAAATAAACCACTGGGAAAACATAACGGTGGAATGGTGATAGGTTTAAACGGATTGCTGATCGGAGTAGTGTTACAGACGTGGGACGGACGACAATGCGCTTACGATCCGAACCAGATGTATCTTGGAAACGTCTTGCCGCAACATTACGGACCACCATTAGTGTATGGACCCATGGGTAACATTATGGGTCACGTGGTCTACAACAATAATAACAATAATGAAGTAATCACTATCACTGGGGGTAGCAACAGTGGGTTCCCGTGTCGAGGGGACGTCTGTGGCAACCCTTTCTATCCCAGTCCACGAGACCCTAACAATGGTCAGTTCCCTGTTAGAGGGGACGGTGGTCGTGGATAATAACGTTTCTCAACTCAGATCATTTTCTCGTCTGGACAATCGACACCTATTTTTGGATTCAAGTTTTTGAAAACCTGTGATTTAATTTTGAAATTCTGAAAAAGAAACCAGTATCATATTATAGGAATATGTGGAACTAAACACTAACAAATTAACAATGACTCGAAAACCTGAAAAAAGGCAATAGTTGCGAGAAAACACCTTCTCCCGTTGAACACAGTTCCGCACGTTTTTGTTGCAAAATGAAGTTCTAAAAGAGAGTACCTGTATTGTTTGTTTAATTAGGTTGACGTGGGATTCAAAACATGTTAGTTTGGTTTTTGGCTCCAAGAATTTTGAGAGAAATCTGTCATGTTTAGAAGAAATCTGAATTGTGTCTAATTCAACTTTTAAATAAAACTTTAATTAGGTGTAAGCCTGTTACCGAATTTTCCACAAAATTGTAAAATTGATTAGAATTTTGAATTAAGTCGCCATAAATTCTAAAATAAATAGATTTGTTGTGAATCTTGTTGAATTTTGTAAAAAACTAACGAAATCCATGAATTGTATAAAAATTATTTTTATTTTAAATGCATCAACATTAAAATCCAACAGACCCCATCGGCCCTAAAGAGTAACTCTCAGCGCATACGAAACTATGTAAATAACAGACGCGAACATAGTTTACAGTCATTTTGAATCTTTCTTCGACTTAGCAAGTCGACATTTTGAAAAGGGTAAAATATTTCTACAAAACCTTTAAATGTGAATTGAAATATTATAACCATTAATGAGGTAGTGATTCCAGAGAGTTGTGAATCAAGTTCTTGTGTGTTATTGACATGTAAGAACGTAGTCTCTCAGCGCACCCATAAACATATTTTAACAGTAGCCTATTGAACATGATTTACCCCGAGCGTCAGTCAACCTAATTAATTAAATCTGTTAATTAGATCTATAAATAGAAACATGTGACTGGTAGGTACAGGTAGGGAAACAGGTGCGTGTTTTTTTTTTTTTAATGTATGATGATGATCTCTAGAATAGAAAATTAGGGTAACAGAGGTTTTAAAACCCAATAACAGACCGAAAGAGTCGACGACGGTGGAGTTTGGGCTTTTGCCAATCGCCTTTACGCTCAGTTGGTCTGCATCGAGCAGATTGTCATACGATCTCTTCTAGCAGGCATTAAAAGCCAGTTTCCGTCTGTTTAATTTAAGGGGTTTAAATACAACACGTCATGTAATCGTATAAAAATGTATTTATTAATGAAAGCAAGTATATTATATTGCACCAATCAACCTATAGTTTATAAATACCATAATTATAATTTAATAATAAACAACTTAAATACGTATAGAGACACAGTCGGGAAACAGAAAATTTTATAATTTCTAAAAATCAACTTAAATATTAACGGAGATATAGCTTACAGTGCAGTCCTTCTAAACCATATGAACCGACATCCCTTCGTTATAAACCGTCACATTAGAACAGTCTCGGATATCACATATAGAAGAAAAACCTCATTTACCTCTGATTAATTATCAGAGTAAACGATTAATCACTAATCCAATCCAAATCGATTTCCATTATTTCAATGCTTGAGCCTTACTCTTTACACCATAGAGATTATCAGTTGCGCATGGTTGCGAATAAACATTGTGGCCATGAGTGCCGAACGTAACTCACAACTTTGTTGCATAAGAGTTGCGTTCGAAACTCATGACTACTATCTGTATTCACATGGAGATTGATCTGGTGTAATTGGAACTTTACTCTTTAATGTGGAGCAACATTTGACAAGGGATGTAACTCTGTTTGAGTAGCCTATTCCTTTCTAATCCAGCCATTTCAGAAGTTGCCGGTTCAGAGAGGTTTCACTGTAGTCAGAAAACTGAAAATTTAATTTCTTAAACTCATACAGATAGCTAAAATTGAGCTCTATCAGCTGATAATGTAAATATCTAGCTGACTATACAGACAGTTGAAATTGAGCTCTATCAGCTGGTAAAGTAAATATTTAGATGACTATACAGACAGTTGAAATTGAGCTCTATCAGCTGGTAATGTTAATGTTCAGATGACTATACAGATAGCTGAAATTGAGCTCTATCAGCTGGTAAAGTAAATATTTAGAAGACTATACAGATAGCTGAAATTGAGCTCTATCAGCTGGTAAAGTAAATATATAGACAGCTATACAGATAGCTGAAATTGAGCTCTATCAGCTGGTAAAGTAAATATATAGACAGCTATACAGATAACTGAAATTGAGCTCTATCAGCTGGTAAAGTAAATATATAGACAGCTATACAGATAGCTGAAATTGAGCTCTATCAGCTGGTAAAGTAAATATATAGACAGCTATACAGATAACAGAAATTGAGCTCTATCAACTGGTAAAAAAGATATAGCCAAATTTATTACGAATTACAAAAATATAAGCTTAATAATATATGATAATATTTGAATAATATAAAAATAAAATGAACTATTAGGCCTATATTGATGAGGATTTGGTGGGAAATGTCACATGACCTAAACTAAAGGCCTATCTGAATCCTTAACCAAGTTCAGAAACCAAATTTTATGTTAAATCAAGGACTCAAGGGCAATAACTCATGGTCTCATTCTTTAGACCATATTGCATCGAGAAAGAGAGCACATACTCTAATCTAAATTTCAAATTAAATTTATCTTTAAAAACTTAATTTGACTCTTTCAACATAGTAATGTACATTATTTACTAAATATGCCACTCTGCCCTTTATCTTCCCCAACTGGCCTAAGAATTTCCCTGTCCTTAGTGGAAAAATGGAACTTGAGAGAATGAGGTACAAAGGACATTTCTCACCTACCCAATATATGTATAAAAATCACTGTAAATGGGTGATGAATCAAAACTAATATAACAAGAAATTTAAATTTCAGAATTCAAACTATAGTCTGAAACTTGCCCTGACACCATAGCTATTACCAGTTGAGTATGGTTGTGATTAATGAAAGTGGTCATGATATCCGAACACAATACACAACTTAGTTACATGAGATTTGCATTGGAAAATTATGACTGCTTTTCATATTTACAGCTATTGATCACTATGGTGTGAGGGCCACTTTAGACTAAAAATCTAAAGGATGTATATTGTAAAATAAAAATCAAAGATGAGCTAAAATGAGCACAAACTAAACTTAATAAGTTGGAAAGTTAAAAATTAATAGCAATAGATGACTAAAGAGAAGAAGAAAATTAATTTTTCTGTAGTACTCAAATCTGACCTGCATACTTCTTCTTTATTTATTACCTGTTTTGATAATCCAGAACAATACACAACATCAGTTACTGTACCTAGCCTGTTATAATTATAATGCTGAATTTACTAAGTTTTGTACATTTGACAAATTCTTCAAGAAAATATCAAGACTTTTCTTGATTTAAAACATCACCATCAGAAAGATATTTCCAACACAACTGGCAAATACAGCCTTATCAACAAAGCTCTAGCCAGACATGACTGGTAAATACAGCCTTATCAACAAAGCTCTAGTCAGACATGACTGGTAAATACAGTCAAATCAACAAAGCTCTAGTCAGACAGGCCTGGTAAATACAGTCAAATCAACAAAGCTCTAGTCAGACATGACTGGTAAATACAGTCAAATCAACAACCCTTGTAAAAACTATGAAGTATAACTCTGCCTTTGATTTCGAAAATTTAAAATCGGGTCAGTTTCTGTTGAGCGTTGAAGTCTGGATGATAGAGAATTTATCTGAACTTCAATGCTGCCATCTAAATCTGACCGCGACATTGATGGTGTAAGGGAGGTAACTTCAGATTGATTTGAACACATGGTCAGAGCCCCAGGCCACCCTCTATATACCATACAATTTAATATAGCTTGTAGTGGATTGGTGATAGCCTACAATATAGAAACATTTGATATTTTATGCTCTTAGGTATGAAAAGTATAACTGTACTAATGAAATAAATGTCCTAAAACTTTCACACCTATTGTTCTATCTGAAAGCCCAAATTGGGTCTACTTTCGGAAGCACTGGCCAGGCTTAACGACCAGTGAAATGGACTTTTATATCATACTGTTTTGTATCTTATTGGACTGTTGGAACCAAATGGAACATATTGTTTTGCTGGTTGAGCTAAAGAAGTTGCAGTGTGCAATGAAAAAATTCGCCAACTGTCAAATGCTCTTAACATGTACAGTGTAAGGCAAACTGGATCTTGGTTTTTTGGTCCCCTCAAAACAACTTGAGTTCTAATCCTCTCTGCAGCAGTTCTTGTACTTGAGACCTTTTACATTACCTTAGTGATAAACTTAATCTATGCGCATAATAAATGAGTACAGACCTGTATGGTAGCTACAGCCAGAAAAACATCATACATCATATTTCTTTCTTCAAACAGTTGTAAGACAGCAAATATCAGGTTAGGTAACCAGCTGTAATGAAGAAAATATTTGATTTGAGGTACATGTATTGTCAATTTAACCTGTTTTCAAGTTGATCCTTGGTCAAGCCTTTTTACAGTCAGGTAGAATGAAATAATATGGAAAAGCCAACTTTCACACACCAACCAAGAATAGAAACAACTACTACTATCTGATAGAAGAAACCAAGTAATTGACAGCATGTAAAGATTCCAACACACTAACTGCCTGCACTATAATGTCATTATAAGACTAGAAAATGCATGAGGGGGGAAAGTCCAAAAATGAGAAAATGGAAACGTTCATGAAGTGTTCATTGACCTTTCAAATGCCTGAGGGAGGAGGGGGGCATGGCCCAATGGCTCACCCACTAAATACATCAATTGACTCACCAGAAAATAAAGATTATTACAATAGAAGTGAATTTAAATCTTGCTGCATTCAAAACTTCTCGTTCCATAGTCCCAAATCTTCCTAAACTACCAATCATTGATTTACGAACTGAAAATTATAAACAAACAAAGTCAAGATATCGTCAGTGAGCTCGTAGATGATTACACGTACTTCCAGATTCTGCAACAATAAGCTGTAATATGTTGGCTTGGTGTTTACAGTCTATCTGTCTAAGGCTCTGATTGGCTGTATACGCTAGCATACAATCCAATCAAACCTGCTGACCGTTAAACATGTTGGCTTAGTGTTTACAGTCTATCTGTGTAGGGCTCTAATTGGTTGTATACGCTAGCATATAATCCAATCAAACCTGCTGACCGTTAAACATGTTGGCTTAGTGTTTACAGTCTATCTGTCTAGGGCTCTGATTGGGAGTATTCGTTGGTGAACAATAAAATCAAATTGCTGCATTCCAAGATACAATAAAGGTGGCTATTGCAATTCAAGTATAAGAAGCAGTTCATAATAGCTTGACATTGAGAAAACATTGATCAGGAGTGATGAATCTATCCTACCTGATTTAAGTATAGTATAGAAGATTATTGGTGTTATAATTAAAACAAATATGACTGGTAATATCATTGATAAATAAACAAATAATTTATCTAAACCTTCTTCTAGACACCTACAATACAGGAGAAAATAGAATTATTAAATACAATTAATACCTGATTAAATCAAATATAACTGGCTACAATATTAATATAAGAGATTGTAAATACATTATCCAATCTTTGTTTAACATCATTCCAATTTTCAATCAGAGATCTGTTGGTCTTACAATTCCACTAAAACTAAGTGTTAAACCCTAAACTTCGGTTACACATTAAGCACCTCAATTTTCGAGATTTTCTAGTATAATTTTTGAGAATAAGGCCCCTGATTTTTGAAGGATGGGGTGGGGATGTATAAAGTACCAACCAATCAGAGATCTGTTGGTCTTGCAATTCCACTAAAACTAACAGTTACACATTAAGCAGCTTAATTTTCGAGAATAGGCCTCTGAATTTTGAAGGATGTCTGAAATATACGAACCATTGAGAAGATGAAGCGTACACCATCAATATCTGTAAAACTATAAGTAGAACTGGAGGTAAAAATCCCACCACATATTTCATATAGGAATGGCTGAAATAAATAATATTAGTTCAAAATCAATATCTTTATGGGGTAATCAGTTAGAACAGAGCCTTTCAAACATTGAGCTAACAAACAAAAACAGTATATTCATGAAAAATGAAAAAGAAAAAGGAATGCCTTGTTATCTTTTCCCAGCAAATATAAACATATAAATATTTTGTATATTTATATTGTGTATGTTGATCTGTATCACACAAACTAAGATAGTTACTGGAGCAGCCCAAAGCATCACCCTCTATTATATCCCTTCCCCTGAAAGGCATCCCTCTGAAAATTGCTTGAATTTCTAACCTAGTTATGAGATTTTTGCTCCGCCACTGTCCCAAATATTCAGTAAAATATAAGATATAAATAAAAAAACTTACTCAGCACTCTTTACAGAAAACAACAACTCAACACCATAAACAATATTCCAAAAATAACCACATAGATAGAAAAACTGGATCCAAATCTAAAATTATAAAGAGTAAAATTGATACTGAACATAATTACATATAGATACAAGATACATGAACTCCAAAACACTGTCCTGCAGACACACACCAAAGATTCCTTGACAGTTCGAATGGCACACTGCACGATAATGCCTGTCTTCATCAGCCCATCAGGTGCAAAAAGTAGGATGTAAAACTCCATTCATTTCATTTAATTTCTTCACCCTAAACCCAGATATATTCAAAAAGATTGTACCCTCAGCCCCCCTCCCTCCCAATCCCCCTCCCTCCCTATCATATATTATAGATAAAATTCTGTAAACATTCAGCAGTTTCTACTTACATTAATAAAATTACAGAAACCAATATTAATAGAATCAGAGACTGATAACTTGACAACAGACCGGGTTATAACACCTATAATATATTCAAATAACAAATAATTCTAATGTCAAATACATTATGAAGAAAACAATTTCATATTGTTACAAAAACAGAATGAGAAATAATATGAATCTCTACCTCATTCTTTGAAGAATTCAAATTGTATTAAAAATGGTATTTTGTTGAGTAATGTTGGTTAAAGATAATATTTGTATTATTTTATACTAGGAAATACATCAATCTACATTAGGAGTTGAACAGATAGGAAATCTCAACCAAATAATTTCAATTTTAACGCCTGATAGACCATGAAAAAAAGACAGCAACAAGTTGTGTTCCTTCCTCATCATGTGGGATAGTAGATCACTTAGACCTACAAATGCCTGAGAAGTGCTCCGTTTTGCATATATCTAATAAAAGGATAATAAGAAATATTGACTTGCAGTGTACTGTCACATTTATAATTACTTAAAAAGGACAACTTATATCCTTAAATTATAGCACATTTAAGCTCCTCCCATGTGTTTATACAGGGAGATCAAAGGGAATTGTGTTACAATATGGAATATATATATCAGTACATACCTAATACAGCCAATACATCACATAATATCAGAATATGAATAATTTCCCGAACAGCTCTCCCAGCTAATATCCTAGTCTGACTGGTAGATAGAGTATTACGCAGGTCAGAATCAGGGCGGGGCAATAACAAATAGATCACGCCCACTACACTGACGACACTTGTCACTAGACATGTAATATCGACTGGACTTTCTAATAAAACTCGTTGTTCTAGCGCATCACAATCTCCTTCAAGATCGTCCTTTACACAGCAACAAGTTGATAGATAACTTGGATTGGCCATTTTATAGTTATCTCCCCTTGTTATACTACATCTATATACAGTAACATGATTTCACCAGTTTTCAGTAAATGTTACATGCAATAAACTTAATCCCTGTCACTAATTCAAGGTATAACGCACATTTTCTCACAGAAACTTTGAAACAATATCTTAATAGAATAAAAACCGAAAAACTGAAGCTTAAAATTGTAAAATGGCCCAGAATCTTTGAACTATTCCATCTACTTAGAAATTTAAAACACAACTTGAACTTTGCAGATTATTAAAACAAATATCCATATGCCATTAAAACACTTTGTTTTGTCACTGAATCTCCAATTGACACATAAATTCCAAAGGAGAACTTGAACTTTGTTAATTGCTTATAGAACATACAAAATTCTTCTAAAGTTGATATGTTTTATCCAAGTTGAAGAACCATATTAAAACTTTAGATTTATTAACAAAAATCTTGAGAATTTTACATTTTGTACTCTCCTACTTATTGCTCAATAACAGAGCTCTAATGGTAACATTGTTGTTGAAATTTACATTGTACATTATCTTAAAGAAGTTGTTCAGGTGTTCAAGCCATCTGCAAAAAAAAAAATGCCTTCATTAAACATATATAAAAAGCTTTGCTTGAAATAACACTATATATACTAAATAAATTAATTTTCAATTTTATATAAGAATGGAGGTATATCGGTTGTTGCTATTACTTTCAGATGAACGTGATGAGTCAGTACCACTAGATAATAATAACTCTATTTATAAATTTAACAGCACTTCATGGCCTAGACCAGTGCTTTTTATGCAAATTCCATTCAAATATCACTTAAACATCCTGTTCCTCAGCCCGTTTTTCATAACATTGTTTTCAATGCAATGTTACAACCTTTATTCCTAAACACAAGGCCTATCATTAGAGACTTTGTTGTGAAAAAGTCACAGGACATACATAAAATATAAATATCTCTCTCCCAGTATAGTTTGTAACTTGTTGATGTGAAATACAGAGTAGTAACAATGACAAGAAACTTCAAACAATAACATACTATAACAAAAACCAAAGAGGAAACCACATTCAGGAAGGCGATTGGCAACTTCAAGCCAATTAGGAGCATTTTGGAAGTTTGCCAACTTATTACTTGAAAAAAAAACAAAACAACCCATGACTACAACAATAAAATTAGACCGGTTGTGGAATCTTTTTATTTACAGATGACTTGTTTCTGAGGCGAAGGAGCAGATCAAACTAAAAGACAAGCAATATCTAGTCAAAATCATTCAAATTGTTTCAAAGGCTCTTTTCTGTGTTCAAAATAACAAATTATGTAATCTTTACTTTAGTTTTGTTTACCACAAAGTCAAGCAAGAGTTACTTCCCTTTAAGACATTTTTTTAGCCAACCCAAATATTCCGACAAGAATTCCAATCTTTTCATCACAATTAATTATTTTGTTCAATGTATCTTTAAAAACCAGAATCATACGTTTATTTTTAAGTTAAAATTTGTTCTATGAGAAAAAGAAACATTATTTTTTTCGCTTTTAAAGATGTCGTTTCCTATTTTTAAGAAGCCATTTCCGATCACATGACCATTTTATAGAAGACGCCATCTTTGATCGAAAAACGCACGTTGATCGAAACAATGCAAGGCCAACGTAAATAATCAGATTGCTGAAAACTTACACATAGACAAGCATAGAGGTATATCTCTTACTGAATTTTCTGTAACATGGCATGCTTACCCTAGACAATGCACTGTTATTTAGAAATTTGGCGCTCGATTTCGGTTTGTTTTGGTTTCTGATTTTCTGCGTGGGAGAAACGCCGGTCGAATCGTAATAGCTTGGCAATGGTACTCTAGACCTATGATTATAATTTTCTTGGAATTAATTTCACATGGAATATCTGGCAGGGTTGTGTATTTCAAATGTAAAATGTCCTTACCTTATTTTTCTATAGATAGACCTTGGCATGCAGTTGAAATTCTATTTTGAATAGGCCTAGATTATTTGTAAAATGAGAGGAAAAGTCCATTCAATTTGCACTGTGGTCGTGTATGGAGGAGGGTTCAGTTCTATTCTATTAGGTTTTTTTATTTTTTTATTTCAAAACTGTTTTCAAAAGAGTTTTATTGTTTATAGATTTAAGCAAGACCAAACAAGATGGCCTTCCCCTACACAGTAATAGGCCCAGGGGGTCAGCCCTTTATTATAACTGGACAGATGCCAGTGATGCAGCAGACTATGGTCCCACAGATCCCTGTAGTTAGTCAAGCCCAGCAGACATCCCAACAACCACCTCCTCAAAATATCCAGCAGAAACAACCAGAATATCTAAATGAAGAGAAACTGCAGGAGAAAGGTAATGATTAGTCCATAACTGAGCTTGTGATAGAATTTTTGAGCAGTTTTGGCTGATGTAAGGGCAGAACAGTTCATTAATGTTGTCACAAAATATTGTGTGTGCCTACTTTCTGTTTAACAACCATCTGATAAAGAAGTTAGATAACCAGCCTCGCCTCATCAAAGCAGGCTTTAACACCTGTACCTTCAAAATGATAAAATCTGAATTTTGACACAACTTGACGATTTACACAAAACAGTTTGAACATTGAACTTTAAAGTCATAAGTTGTAACTCTTATTCACGTTTCTGTTTTATAGCACGTAAGTGGCAACAGTTACAGTCCAAGAGATATGCTGAGAAAAGAAAATTTGGTTTTATTGATGCCCAGAAAGAAGACATGCCGCCAGAACATGTCCGTAAAATTGTACGAGACCACGGTGATATGACCAACAGAAAATTCCGACATGATAAAAGAGTCTATCTAGGGTAAGTAGTCAAAAGGTTTCAAATGATATCTAGTTGTCACCCAGTCAACCCAACTGTAAATGCGGTACAGATAATCCAGGAAAGATCAAAGCCACGAGGTTTGGTTGAAAACCGGCTATTACAAAGACTCCTTGTGAAGTTGTTGCTTGTTTTTGCTTTCTTTCCTAAAACTGCTTTTTGACTAAACATGCTCCAGTCTGTTTTAATTATGCTATTTTGTTATCTGAATAAGGGTGAAAATTTATTTATATTGAAATGACATACTGGTACTGTTTAATTTCAGAGCGTTGAAATACATGCCTCATGCTGTAATGAAACTAATGGAGAATATGCCGATGCCATGGGAACAGATTCGAGATTGTAAAGTTTTATATCATATTACTGGTGCTATAACATTTGTTAATGAAATACCATGGGTTATAGAACCTGTTTATATTGCACAGTGGGGGTAAGTTGATACTTTCTCAGATTAGTGAGAGTCGACATAGCACTAGGACTTCCTTGCTCACCTAACCTAGGGCTCCAGGGTTCAGTCGGGCTTAGGTTGGGATGCCACATCGGAGGGTCACAGAGTTACAAGGCTTGTTTGCTCACCTAACCTAGAGCTGCATTGTTCAGGGTGTTGAATTCTTTAGTCCAAGCCAAATTGAAGAATTTTTCCAATTCACACCAAAACACATTGCGGAAAATGACATCAGCCACAAAGCCATCTTTGTCAAGCTATTACAAACTGCAAACACTGCTAGAGTACAATCCAATGAAATGGCTGCATCATCATATTTCTGTTAACAAGAATAGTGGCTCTTGCTGTAAGGTATGAGAAGCTGTTCATTTGGTTTAATTTATGCATGATTATTTTCTAGAACCATGTGGATTATAATGAGAAGAGAAAAGAGAGATAGAAGACATTTTAAGCGAATGAGATTTCCTCCGTTTGATGATGAGGAACCTCCGTTAGATTATGCTGATAATGTATTAGATGTTGAACCATTAGAAGCTATACAGTTAGAACTAGATACTGATGAAGATAAAGATATATTAGACTGGTTTTACGATCACAAACCACTTTCTGATTCCAAGTATGTCACGCTCTACTTTATTCTTAACATTAGCTCTTTGATTCCCAGCTACATTGTCAATAGACACAAGTCTCTGTGTACTGTTGGCTATTCTCCACTTTTCTAAAGGTAGACAGTTCTATATGTAGAAAAGCATTGAGTCAGGAATATGCGACATTAGAGCCAACTAATAAAAATAATGGAATAGAGAAATTCAGTCATCTTTCAATTTGTCTCTCAATGATTTATGCCTTGCATGACAACTTGCGATGGTTTGTCAGTTCAAAAGACAAAAGAAATCTTTCTACATATGGTTCAATACTTCTCTACAGGTCATTTTACTCGCCTCAGTTTAAAAAAAAAATGAAATGCAAGTGGAAATTTCAATATATAATTCTAATTGTAGATATGTGAACGGTTCGACGTATCGAAGATGGAATTTAAGTTTACCAATATTATCAGTGCTGTATAGATTAGCCAATCAGCTTCTTACTGATTTAGTGGACGAGAATTTCTTCTATTTATTTGATCTGAAGTCTTTCTTCACAGCCAAGGCATTAAACTTAGCTATACCTGGTGGACCCAAGTTCGAACCTTTAGTTAAAGACAGAGACTGGCAGTAAGTAGTTGTTTTTGGTTCATTTTGAAAACTTCAAGGGTGTCGCAGTGGCTTAGTGAGTTAAACTGACGGTCCGGGGTTGAATTCTGGCAAAGGTTGAGCTAATATCTTAAATGATAATCTGATTTTTCAACCAAGTTTTCCCTGATGCAGGTCTAAGGTGTCCTGTCATTCAGATGGGACAAACCAAACCAAAAATAAACCATGTGCTTGTATTTATTAGTTTTTTATATACGATTTTAATATTCTATATTTATAGAGATGAAGATTGGAATGAGTTTAATGATATCAATAAAATTATAATTCGTCAGCCAGTTCGTACAGAATATAGAATAGCTTTCCCTTATCTTTATAATAATATGCCTTATAAAGTACATCTTTCATGGTAAGTATTGTTTTAATTCACAGAGTTTTGAGCTGCTGTCTGAAGGATTGTAACTTTCTATTTTTGCATCTAATGTCAAGTTGACATTTTATCCATGTGAACTCTCTATTGCTTAACCCAATTTTAGTTTGGCAGTAGTTCTTGTAGTTTTGAAAAAATAAGCTTTCTACCTTAAAATTTAATTTTTAAACATTCTAATTTTAGGTACCACACACCAAATGTTGTGTTTATTAAAACAGAAGATCCTGATTTACCAGCGTTCTATTTTGATCCTTTGATTAACCCTATTTCACATCGTAATGTTGTCAAGGTGAGTACCAGGGTTCTTGATATGGTGCCATATCATTGCCATTCATGACACATAAGTCAACAAAGTCACATCGCAAATAGAGAAATCTTAGAATTGAAATCTGATAAATAATAACAGCGCAGATGGTAGGAGTTGTCGTTTGCTAGTTGATAAGTTTGAATCCAATCTTGGCCAGTGTATGTTGTGGGCCTGTTATAAACAATGAAAACAGCAGTGTGTAAGAATTAACAGTTAAGCTTTAATGATGATTGGCCAGCTATTCTGTCTGGGACTTAGTAAAATGACATTGTAGAGAATCAGCCTTGATACTTATTTTCTTAAATTTCTTGACTGGTAAATTAGGAATTTGAGAAAGGGTCTAGAACTTTATGAATGTGACATATTCCTACATGATCCAACAAAAGATGCTGAAATATTGTCTGTAATTTTGTAGGGAATGGATCCACTACCAGAAGACGATGAAGAGTTTGAACTTCCAGAATATGTGGTACCGTTTCTACAAGAAACCCCATTGTACACTGACAACACAGCTAATGGTATAGGGTTGATCTGGGCACCACGTCCGTTTAATCTACGGTCTGGTAGATGTAGAAGAGCTATAGATGTTCCTTTAGTTAAAAACTGGTAGGTTTCTTTCAAATTTTAATGATTATTGTATTTAGACAACATTTTTAACAGACAAGGTTTGAGTTTCTGGAAACATAAACTGACTTTTTGTCCAATAAGCTGCATTAAAGTAAAATGGAAAACTTGAAAAGATTGAATGGTTGATAAAACCAAAAATGAGTCATAACTGTTGATCAAATATTATAATGAAATCTGGTAAATTAAACAAAAATAGACAATGAATCTACATGGAAAATTTAAAGACTTATCAAAGCATTGGTTTGTTGTCAGGGATCTCCCTATGAGCCTCACTTGTGCTACGTTGTCATGGTGTTGGTAAAGAAGAAAGGAAGAAATTGAAGAATGATGGTCTTGTTCACCATTAAAGTCGACTAGACATATTGCTCTACATTGCTATATTGAGTGTAATATTAAGTATACCCCTTAAACAAAGCAATATCTTTTCTCCATAGGTATCGTGAACATTGTCCAGCTGGTATGCCAGTGAAAGTTCGAGTTTCCTATCAGAAATTGTTGAAATATTTTGTTATAAACGCCTTAAAACATAAACCTCCTAAAGCCCAGAAGAAAAGGTTAGTATTTCTTAACGGTGTTCATCGCGGCCAAATTCAAAACATACAGTTCTTCTTATTTGTAGAATAAATAGTATTAAAAACTATACAGGCTTATATTGATTTTTGCTTAAAACTACCTAAAGATAAAATTCTCATGTTAATGTTAAGAATTGGACCCCGATGAGTAGAAGTATCCCTCATTGCACACTACATGACATTGCCTGTCCTCATTCATCAGATAATGATTCTGTTTTTATTTCAGATATTTATTCCGATCGTTCAAGGCTACCAAGTTTTTCCAGACAACTCAGTTAGATTGGGTTGAGGTTGGGTTACAAGTTTGTCGTCAAGGATATAATATGTTGAATCTGTTGATTCATCGTAAGAATCTGAATTATCTTCATCTAGATTATAACTTTAACTTAAAACCTGTTAAAACATTGACCACTAAGGTAAGATCATTGATTTTTACTTTTCTCAAATTTCTGTGTCTGTTAGCCAATTATCGTTGTTTCCATAATTTATTTAAATAACGCAACACAATTGTATGGTTTATTTCTCCTGAGTTTTATTATATACAACGTTTCAACAATTTATGTTGTCAGTATCAGGTGAAATGAGAGATAGAAAATAATGATGCTGACAATATAAATTGTAGAAACGTTGTGTACAGAATAACTCCAGATTGAGATAAAATTGTGTTCCGTTATTTAATGTGATCTCTACCCCTAAACATCGATTATGGATTATAGTTTGTTTACTAAGGAACAGAGTAGCTGAGTGTAAAACCTTCTTTCATTGTAGGAAAGAAAGAAGTCAAGATTTGGTAACGCCTTCCATCTGTGTAGAGAGATATTAAGACTGACCAAGTTGGTAATAGATGGACATGTACAGTACAGACTGGGCAATGTGGATGCTTATCAGGTACGTTACCCCAGGGTTTTTATGACAGACCATTTCATACACACTCATTTCTCTATATTGTGTTCAATCATATCCTAAGAAAGTTGGGCTGGCTTATTCTACAGATCAATTTATACATTGACCTTTCTCTATGTTGCTTGCACCCATATCTGTTCTTAGTTTTAATTAATAACCAAGAAGTGGGATTTGCAATCTCAGCTAAGGAACACATAGCGTCTTTCAGTTTTCAATACTGTTAAAATTTTATGATTGAGTGGTTTTGTCACTAGATAAGCCTGTTATAATGAAATTTGAATTTGTTATTCTAGCTAGCTGATGGGTTACAGTATGTATTTGCTCACGTTGGTCAGTTGACTGGAATGTATCGTTATAAATATAAACTAATGAGACAGATTAGAATGTGTAAAGATATCAAGCATCTTATCTACTATAGATTTAACACAGTAAGTATTACTGTTACAACAACAAGTTTATATACGGTCGGTCGGTCGTATTCATATTTCAGATGTGCATTTTATTGATATTGTAGTATAAACAGCCTCATAAATACTGCTTGGGTCTTAGGCATTGACAGGAAAGTGTCTTACCAATTAAAAAGAAAACCATAAAATCTACAGTTTGAATTGGAAGTGGTAAATGGCACTGCCGTGGCATAATTTCCTTTATTGCACACTGCATGGCCTTTGCTGCATTCATTACCAAAAAAATGGTTTATAAAATGGGAACATAAAACCCAGTTTTATTATCAGAATCAATTGTAACAAAAGTAAGAAGAATGTAAATCTCCAGTTTCAAATCACATGCCCAAACATATGGTAGGGTAGGTAATAGGGTTGGCATGGTTTTTCCCTAGCAGTTTTAACCAGCCAGATGTGTAAGGGCATAATTAATTGTATTCAAGTAATTTTAATATTTATATTTTGTAGGGTCCAGTAGGTAAAGGCCCAGGATGTGGAATCTGGGCCCCAGGCTGGCGTGTCTGGTTGTTCTTTATGAGAGGAATAACTCCACTGTTAGAAAGATGGCTGGGTAATCTTCTCTCTCGACAGTTCGAAGGTCGTCACTCGAAAGGCGTGGCTAAAACTGTCACCAAACAAAGAGTAGAGAGTCATTATGATTTGGAACTCAGAGCTGCTGTAAGTTTTAACATTTAATTTTAATCACACCAAATTAGCTCACTATTTCACAAAATATAAACATAAATTCGATATTAGAAATATAGATAGATTAAAGCTAAAGAATTTCGAAGGAAAAACCTGGAGATAATTCACCATAAACATTGGGTTTGATTCTACCTAGAATTGATATCAATCTGTACAGAAAAATGAATTTTCAATTGTCCAGTAAAAAAGTATAGATCATCCAGGCCCTGAAATGTGCATTTCATCGTCAAGTTTTTTGGATATCACTCTTCTTTCAAAAAAGTTTCAACATGGTGCAGAAAAGTAGGACGTAAAACTCCATTTATTTCAAAAAAAGTTCAAGCTCGCTTTTCATTTGAAACTCTGAATATAAAATCATGTAAAACTATTAATATTGTGTGTTTATTTGTAGGTAATGCATGATATATTAGATATGATGCCTGAAGGAATTAAACAGAATAAAGCTAGAACTATTCTACAACATCTGAGTGAGTCATGGAGATGCTGGAAGGCTAATATTCCCTGGAAGGTATGTGGTCGAGTCAAACATTTTTTAGGACGACTGGTCCTTGGTCAAACTTCTCGGCATTGATCTTTCCCAAAATTATCCGTACTTATTTACAGCTGTGTCGACTGGAGTAATGAGGAAAGATTTATTAATTTATTTTATTTTTGATAACTATACAAATACTTGTCTTAAACCAATCATATATCAATATTATTTAATCAAATGGAAGAGATTAGTAGATAGTAAAAATTCATCTTATTTTATTTTAACCTAGGTACCAGGATTACCAACACCAATAGAGAACATGATTTTACGATACGTCAAGGCTAAAGCTGATTGGTGGACTAATACTGCTCATTATAATAGAGAGCGTATTCGACGTGGAGCCACGGTAAGGACAAAATTTATTCAAAGAGTGAAATTTTAACATTAGCGCCATAGAGCAGCCATTTCAATTGCAGGATTATAAGTGTTATATAATTAGATTATTTGTGTTTTTAGTCAAATTTTACTTGATAATTTTACCTGTATGTGTTTCGAAACGTAGTATGTAATAAACCTAGAAGTAGTATATCTATATATCTTAATATTTAAATGTAACCTTCCTGCTTCTATAGATCTTACATGGCGTTATCACCAAACGTAGTATGTAATAAACCTAGAAGTAGTATATCTATATATCTTAATATTTAAATGTAACCTTCCTGCTTCTATATATCTTACATGGTGTTATCACCAAACGTAGTATGTAATAAACCTAGAAGTAGTATATCTATATATCTTAATATTTAAATGTAACCTTCCTTCTTCTATATATCTTACATGGTGTTAACACCAAATGTAGTATGTAATAAAGCTAGAAGTAGTATATCTATATATCTTAGTATTTAAATGTAACCTTCCTGCTTCTATATATCTTACATGGCGTTAACACCAAATGTAGTATGTAATAAATCTAGAAGTAGTATATCTATATAACTTAGTATTTTAATGTAACCTTCCTGCTTCTATAGATCTTACATGGTGTTAACACCAAATGTAGTATGTAATAAAGCTAGAAGTAGTATATCTATATATCTTAGTATTTTAATGTAACCTTCCCTCTTCTATATATCTTACATGGCGTTATCACCAAACGTAGTATGTAATAAACCTAGAAGTAGTATATCTATATATCTTAGTGTTTAATTAGATTATTATTAGTATTATGTTATTATATAACAAGCGGACGCAAGTTTATCTCTTTTAGCATTAAATGTTAGTGTTCCAATGATTTGATTGGTCAATCACTAAAATTGATAAGTTAATACAATACAGGAAGTTAGACAGACCAGATAAGGTTATATATACAGACGGAAAGATAAAGTGTTTTGTTGATAATTTCAGGTTGATAAGACAGTATGTAAGAAGAATTTAGGAAGATTAACACGTCTATATCTTAAATCAGAACAGGAACGTCAACATAATTATTTAAAGGTAATATCTTATAGTCATTCATCTAAAATAGACTTAAAGACAGAATGATACAAACATCTTTTAAAGTTCAATTTCTTTTCATGAATCTTACCAGCTGGTCCTTTCCCAAAACCACTTTGGTCTGACAAAAACATTACTACACTTAACGTAAAGAAATTGTTCAAAAGTATCATGTCGACCAGCTGTTCCTTGGCCAAACACTTGATTTTACGAGGAAAGTAACTTAGTTCCACAAGGATCCTGTCTATTGGGTGTTCTTTGGCCAACATCGGTAGGATTTAACAAGGATATTAACCTAGGTTCACAAGGATCCTGTCTACCAGCTTGTCCTTTCAAACCTCTTGACAATGACCTTTCATGGATTATCTGTACCCATTTAAGAATTAAATTTGATATCAATAGCTGGTGCGTAAATGCAATTGATCAAGTGACAAACTACACTTTATTGAAAAATAAGAGAATGAGAAGAGAATGATAGTAGAAAGGTTTATAAGATATATAATTGTTATTTTAGGATGGACCATACATCACAGCAGAAGAAGCTGTAGCTATTTATACCACTATGGTTCATTGGTTAGAAAGTCGACGTTTCTCACCTATTCCATTCCCTCCTCTCTCTTACAAACATGACACCAAATTACTTATACTGGCTCTAGAGAGGTTGAAAGAGGCCTACAGGTAGGGTAGTTGTTTCTTCTTTTAAAGCTGAAATGAACAGAGTAGCTTAGTGAGTTAGATACTTGCTTGATAGCCTGAATGTTAAGTGTTCATATGTTTGAGATCATTGGATATATATTAACCTGGTTTCCCTCTTTCAGTGATACAGGCTAGAAGGGCTGGCATTGAAAAAGTGTCTTGTGATGCAAATAGATCAATATAATGAGACCATATGTGTTACAAGCTGTGCGCATTAAAGATCCCTCGACTTGTCTTATGTCACTGTCCAGAGGAAAAATTTCTTCGACGGAAATTGCAAGGCGTTTACATTTTTAATCACCAACTATTGGAAGAGAAAGTAGGATGTAAAACTCTATTTCATATCAATATTTGCTATTTATTATTACAGTGTAAAGAGTCGATTGAATCAATCACAGAGAGAAGAATTAGGTCTGATAGAACAAGCCTACGATAATCCTCACGAAGCTTTGTCCAGAATTAAACGTCATCTTCTAACACAAAGAGCTTTTAAAGAGGTAAGTTTGACTTGAAGTATATAGTTTCATGTGGTCAGAATTATTCTCTCATCAAGAATTACTCCCCTTGTAGTCAGATAGTAAAGGGTAGGGCTGGGGATCTTGCAAAAAGATAGAAGATGGGCAAGGTTCATATTGCAGTTTAATAGACATCTCGGAGAGATATAGGCAGTCATAGTGTAAGGTCCTTGCATCTTGTGATATCTATTAAAAGTTGTAGGGTAGGCGTCAAGCAATAAAGATATCTAACTATGAATAGTTACGAAATATAACTATATATATAAATATTGCAGGCTGGAATAGAGTTTATGGATCTGTACAGTCATCTAATACCAGTATATGATGTAGAACCACTAGAGAAGATCACAGATGCCTATCTTGATCAATATCTATGGTATGAAGCTGATAAACGCCGTCTGTTTCCGTCGTGGATTAAACCCTCGGATTCTGAACCACCTCCGTTACTCACCTACAAATGGTGTCAAGGTAGGAAAATATATTGGATGGGCCGTAACCAATTTGGGCAGAGTGTTGGAATTTTCACATGATATCATTTGCTTGGTTAATGCAATCAAGTAGTAGTCAAGGGTTCTTTTCTTGGTCATTTAAGTGTCTGACCGTGACTTCTGGCGCTGTGGGTTTGAATTCTTATCAATTCTAATGCTAAGAGTGCTCAGTGACCAGTAGTAGTCCATAAATATCTAATTTTCTCATTGCACACTGCATGACATTGCACATTTTCATCAATTAACCCAAACAAGACAGAAATATTTGATGAAAACTTCATTTCATTCCATTTTTGTAGCCATATCTTAATTTAAATTTCAGGTATCAACAATTTACAAGATGTTTGGGATACGTCTGAAGGTGAATGTAATGTAATGTTAGAATCAAGATATGAGAAAATGTATGAGAAGATAGATTTAACATTATTAAATAGATTATTACGATTAATAGTAGACCATAATATTGCTGATTACATGACAGCTAAAAACAACGTCGTTATTAATTATAAGGTAAGATTTGAACTCTTTTGATTGGTTGTTTATTTGCAGTCGCTGATTTGATTGGCAATAATACTTTAGGCTGTACTGATTGGTCATATTAACTTTTGAAACTTCTGATTGAAATAGAAATATCTAGCCTTTCTGATTGGCTGTACCAACTTTGTAGTCTTCTGATTGGCTGTATAAATGCTTAGCTTTTCTGATTGGTCATACAACTTTCTTATATTATAGGATATGAACCATACCAACTCGTACGGTATTATTCGGGGATTACAGTTCGCCTCTTTTATAGTCCAGTTCTATGGTTTGGTGTTAGATTTATTAGTATTAGGTCTACATCGTGGTAGTGAGATGGCAGGACCGCCACAGATGCCAAACGAATTCCTGACATTCCAAGATGTTGCCACGGAAACTAGTCATCCAATCAGATTATATTCACGATATATTGATAAGATTCACATCTTCTTCAGGTTAGTTGATTTAGTTTAACTGAGGGGTGATGATTGCACTAACTTTCCCTCATTGTACATGGTATGACATTGCCCACATTTGATAATCCAAATATATGGTGCCGAAAAGTACAACCTAAACTCAGTTTCATTGCAAGACCCATACACATCAGACTAAAAATTGGATTGGTGCAAATTGATGCCATCAAAAAGCATGAAAAAGGTTGAAAATCCGTTATGTTACTGTCTGAAGCAGGAATTCATCCTTCAAATTCTTGTTTTATTTTTCATTAAAAATAAATCAATTAAAATAGTCATTCCAAAACATCAACATATTTTGCACACTAATGGTTATGCCTTGTTTTAAAACTTCAGATTTTCTGCTGAGGAGGCTCGTGATTTGATTCAGAGATATTTAACAGAACATCCCGATCCAAACAACGAGAACATCGTGGGATATAACAATAAAAAATGTTGGCCGAGAGATTCCAGAATGAGGCTGATGAAACATGATGTTAATCTGTAAGTTATATCCTGCATTACATCAATCTAATCATCTATTTGATGCTTTTTCCAAATCATTGAAAACAGTTATGAATTATTTTAATTATTGCTATTCAATAATACATAATGGTTTTGTCTATTGTAGAAGTCACTCTACTGTACCTTTCCCTTACAGTGTGCCTTATGAACACTTAATAAAGATTATTAACAAGGCATTTTAGAATTTTATTTTACTGTGAATAAGTCACCCTTTTGTCTAGTGTTTTATGAATAGCTTAAAATTCAGTTCGCAGAAAGCCTTTTATTTTTATATTAAAAGAAATAACTGATGATTTGATGTTTCAGTGGTCGAGCTGTATTCTGGGATATAAAGAATCGTTTACCAAGATCAGTAACAACCGTCCAATGGGAGAGTAGCTTTGTCTCTGTCTACAGTAAAGATAATCCCAATCTACTGTTCAATATGTGTGGTTTTGAATGTCGTATTTTACCCAAGTTACGAACAACTCACGAAGAATTTACTCATAAAGATGGCGTCTGGAATCTACAAAATGAGGTGAGTTGATATTATCCTTAATAGTATTAAATCTGGCAACACTACAGTCAGTTTTCTGCATGTATTCTGGCAATGGAGGGGATTCTAGAGTTACAGGCCATGAAGGATAATTGAACACTAATAAACGTTATGAGTTCTTTTTTTCCACCTGTAGTGAAATATAAATGAAATAATGTTGGTTACTATTCTAGGTAACAAAAGAAAGAACAGCTCAATGTTTCCTCAGGGTAGATGATGATTCCATGGGCAAATTCCACAACAGAGTTCGACAGATTCTTATGGCATCTGGCTCAACTACATTTACTAAGGTAAGACTGAATTTATATATAAGTCTTGTGTAAGCACCGTGGTATAAAAGAAGCATTTTGTCAGCTTGTAGAAGTATCTATCCATAAATTGTCTTATTCATTTTGTCAGTGTTCTCTTTGACGCCCCTCAACTTTTTATTGAACTCTTCCACGCATGTGCATTCGCTATCAATATGACAGAGTATTGTTCAAGAGATCATTGGCTAAATCTGTGTGAATTTTACCGCCATTTTCAGTGTTACATTTAGATGGGACAGTTATTAGGCTCTGTGTGACATAGACTCTGCACATTAAAGATCCCTTGACACTTTAAAATTCAAACAAAGTATGCTAGTATAGCTGTGCTGGTAAAATTTGTCTCATTGTACACTGCACAGTGATGCATGCCCAATCAAGTCATAAAATGCTATTTCATATGAGCCTAGACAATAAACAGAGGCTTAACCTTGCTTACCATTACAACTGACAAAATTTCCTCCATTGCACACTGCATGACACACACCTATTATTTCAGATTGTAAATAAATGGAATACAGCTTTAATAGGATTGATGACGTATTTCCGTGAAGCCGTAGTTAACACACAAGAGTTACTGGACTTGTTAGTCAAATGTGAAAATAAGATACAGACTCGAATTAAGATTGGTTTAAACTCGAAGATGCCTAGTCGATTCCCACCGGTCGTGTTTTATACACCCAAAGAATTAGGAGGGTTGGGTATGTTGTCTATGGGGCACGTTCTGATCCCTCAGTCTGATTTACGATGGTCCAAACAGACAGACGTCGGTATCACTCATTTCCGATCTGGTATGAGTCATGATGAAGATCAGCTGATTCCTAATTTATATCGATATATCATGCCGTGGGAGAGTGAGTTTATTGATTCTCAGAGAGTCTGGGCCGAGTATGCCTTGAAGAGACAGGAGGCCAACGCTCAAAACAGGTAGGTTTGAATTCGAGTATATTTCAGCTCTGTTATCTCTTATAAATGGATATTCTAATCAGTCCATGATTAGCTACCATATATCTATGTGTATAATGTGCAGTTTTTTTTCCCTAAAAAGGGCATGCCTTTTACACAGTGACAAACAAATTTTGAATTTTCAAGAGAGGTTCGGTAGTCAATATTGATGAGCCACCATTTTGTAATTGCTGATTGTCAAAGATTCTGATATAAAAGATCGTGATTCCATAGGATTGGTGTTTAAGTGGAACATATACCACAATATTCTGACAGAGGGTTATCTTGTCACAACTGCTTAGCTTATGATATTCACCATATTTGTATTGCCAAGTTCGCCAATGTTCTGCTTTTAATGTCATAAACAAAGATTTTCTCTGATATAGAAGGCATGCAGTCATCACAAATGGCATAGACTCGAGAAATGTTCATTGACATTATGAAGAGCACTAATGGTGCTCTGATCTTTCGTTACATAATTACCGCTACTTAACATTTCAGACGTTTAACTCTAGAAGATTTAGAAGATAGTTGGGATAGAGGTATACCACGTATTAATACACTGTTTCAGAAAGATCGTCATACTCTAGCCTACGATAAAGGTTGGAGAGTTCGTACAGATTTTAAACAATATCAGGTAGGAGGCATGGCTTCTCTTAATATTAAAGTTAGTTCCTAGCCCCTCTTAGTTTCTTACATGGAAATCTTGTGGTGCAAGGATGCTTGCTGGCTTACTAAGGTTGATACTGATAGATTGAGATAGATCCTTTTTCATTTTTCAATTTTATACATATTCAGATTTTGTTCCCCTCCTGTCCAGACATCTATCCATCTGTTCACTTAGCACATAGACGTAGTTTCTAACAGATTGTGAGGCTTATATATATGATGAAAATCTCTGGGTTCAATTTACGATGAATATTTTTATATGCCAAGATATTGCCTATTGAGCAAAGATAAATAACTTGTATTTGATACTGGAAGTCTGTGATAAGATAGCGATAACTTTTAACAGAACAGTAGTTTATAGTCCTGATTCAATGCCCGCTACAACAAAATATATTTATTTGTAATGAAAACTTTCACCGGGAGAATAGAGGCTATTAGTTGTATCAATATATTTAACACTGGTGATTATATTAACAGGTTTTAAAACAGAATCCATTCTGGTGGACACATCAACGTCACGATGGTAAACTGTGGAATTTAAATAACTATCGTACAGATATGATACAAGCTCTAGGTGGTGTCGAGGGTATTCTAGAACATACATTATTCAAGGGAACTTACTTTCCTACATGGGAAGGTCTCTTTTGGTAGGTGGTAATCATTGAGTTTAATTTGGTTTACACTGCTGACCTTGTTTGGCCAATAATGACACAGATGATGAATGAAAGATGTATGTCAACCTATGGGACAATTTTTTAATAGGTCGAAAGGCACATGGGCTGATTATAGAGTCGCTTTGTTATGTCGCTGGTAAAAATATCTGTAAAATGGTCTCAGAATAACGATAACATAATTTTCCAAGTCATGGAAATAAAAAATCTCTGAATGCTTTTTATTATTCGTCAAATATTTTCCTTGGCCTTAGGTAAATTATCCCACGGAAAACTGCCTTAGAATTGATGATTTAGTTCTAGTGGTTGTTAGTTTTATATAGATGTATCAAGAGTAGCCTTTCTGGACAAAATATTCACTATTGCACACTGCACGACGTTACCTATTGCCTATGATTTGTTGTATATAAATTGTATTATACATGCTATTTGAATATTTCAGGGAGAAAGCCAGTGGTTTTGAAGAATCAATGAAATATAAAAAACTAACTAACGCTCAGAGATCTGGTTTGAATCAGATTCCTAATAGACGATTTACTTTATGGTGGTCTCCTACTATTAATAGAGCTAATGTAAGTTCTACTGAAACCTAAATCAAATTTAAGGCCCTGTTTCACTCATGCACACTGCATAATATTCTTATTTCATTTCTGATTTTGTCTCCTCTTCTAACAGTAAAAGAAAGCACTTACTACCCAAACTGCGAAACGAAATCTAAAACAACATACTGGCAATTCATTGCTATTAGATAATGTACTTAACATGAGGCAGTATTTCAGATAACACATTAGTAGCGGGTAATAAACGAGGCAGTATTTCAGATTACTGATAGAGATATGGTTTTATTCTAGGTGTATGTTGGTTTCCAAGTCCAGTTGGATCTGACAGGAATTTTTATGCATGGTAAAATTCCTACCCTGAAGATCTCCCTGATTCAGATATTCCGTGCCCATTTATGGCAGAAAATACATGAAAGTGTTGTCATGGATTTATGTCAGGTAAGTGTAGGAAAACTCTTAAAAAAAAAATTTGAATAAAAATAAATATTTTCTTTTATAGAAATCAATATATTAAATAAACATTATTTATGTGAACTCACTGAAGAGGATTCTAGATTGACAAACCTTAACACAGAATAGAATTATAAACTTTGTGGACTCTCTGTATGGGTTGCTAATTTAACCAATCAGATGACTGGAAAATTAAAATCATCCTTAGTTAAGCTTTTGTGAATAAGCCTCGGGTTTAATTTAGAAAATTATGTAATGAGTTTTGAAATAGAGGTAATTTTGCATAAAAATAATACTTTTCTGTCTCTATTTTCTAGCCATTATAAAATGGTGAACAGTTATTGTTTTTTTGTATAGAGTGATTGGAATTTATTTTTTGATATTTATTTAGGTATTTGATCAAGAATTAGATGCATTAGAAATAGAAACAGTCCAGAAAGAAACTATCCATCCCCGTAAATCTTATAAAATGAACAGTTCCTGTGCTGATATATTATTATTTGCTGCTTATAAATGGAACGTATCAAAATCTTCACTGTTAGCTGATTCCAAGTAAGTAATATACACGTAGAAACATCGTATAACTTTAATCAGTTATTGTTGTGAAAGTGAATATTGTCTATTAGGCATAGAACTGAAGTTTCCCTTCTTTCACACTACACATATTTGTCTTTATTAGTTCTATAATTAAAAGTAGTCAAATGTAGAATTCTATTGTATTATATTTTGTCTTTTAGTAGTCATGAAGACACAGTTTTAAGTGAACCACTGTCCATCTATTTAAGACTGTGTGGCATTAGTTTATTAGTATTTATGTAGGATGTGAGAAACCTATATTTTGTCTTATAGAGATGTGATGGATGGAGCTACTACCCAGAAATATTGGATAGATGTTCAGTTACGATGGGGTGATTACGATTCTCACGATATAGAACGTTACGCTCGTGCCAAGTTTCTAGATTATACAACTGATAATATGAGTATATACCCCTCACCTACTGGTCTATTAATAGCTCTCGATCTCGCCTACAGTTTACACAGGTTGGTGCTGTTTATTTCTTTATTTTAACCTCTTTAACCTTTACAATATATTGCTTGGACTTCAGAGTGTATGATGCTTTTTATTATTTACCTCTAGCTTACAGTGAAGTGGCCATATAAAGTAATTTGATATAACCATTGGTGTCATACATTTAGAGTCATAATCCTTGGACTTCAGAGAGTATGATGTTTAATTTCATTCATATTCACATAAAAAAAAAAGACAGTGCACACCACAATGTTTAAGGATGTTTGTGTCACCCCAATAGAAAAAGTGATAGTTGTTCTGGTTTGACATTGAACCAATGGCTTGCTTTTAATAGGATATGCATGTAAAAGATCCTTGTTAACAATTTGATTTGTAAACTTATTGTATATTTTATTACAGTGCCTATGGTAATTGGTTCCCGGGTTCGAAACCTCTGATACAGTCGGGAATGGCCAAGATAATGAAAGCCAACCCTGCGTTATATGTATTAAGAGAACGTATTAGAAAGGGGCTGCAACTCTATTCCTCGGAACCGACTGAACCTTACCTGAGTTCCCAGAATTACGGAGAGCTGTTTTCCAATCAGATTATTTGGTTTGTGGATGATACCAATGTCTACCGTGTTACCATACACAAGGTAAGGTCAAGGCTGTTTGAATAAAATTATTAAACCAATACTTAGTCCCTAGCTTGACAAATCTATCCCTCTATATTTTTTTAGCACATGAAAACACACATGGATATTGGCACCTAAAAGCCAGACATAAAATGTCACTGTTAATGGGAGTTGTTTGAATCATTATTAGGAGTGCTAGTTTTTGAGAATTTTCACCATGACGAAAGCCAAATTTCCCTGTGCATCACGATATGCAGTTCAGTGTAAATCTTTACTTACAAATTGTAAGAAATATCTTTCTGTTGGTCATTCATCTCCAATTCACTACTTCTTTACTTTCACTTATAATTTCAGACATTTGAAGGTAACTTGACAACCAAGCCTATCAACGGAGCCATCTTTATATTCAATCCTAGAACTGGACAATTGTTCTTAAAGATTATTCATACATCAGTTTGGGCTGGACAAAAACGTCTTGGACAGGTAAGATCTCCACATAATTTATAAAATTACTTTCATTTGCTACAAGGAGATGCAGTGGCTCTGTGAGTTGAACAAGAGATCTAGGCTTTGATATTTTATAAGCAAAATAGTACCTGTAGATTTTTCAGTCTGGTTTCTCCTTGTCAGTGATGCAGGTTGAAGGGGCTGACACAGAAAATCCTTAGTCTGGATTAGACAGTAAGCCATGTACTACATGTTGTTCATAGGGAAGGATCCTTTGATACTGGATCTAAAAAGAGTAATATGTCATTATTTCTGGCAAAATTTCCCTCATTGCACACATGGCTATACAGTTGGAAATGAAAGTAGATTAAAAATAAACATTAATATTTGGTTATTTTAGTTGGCTAAATGGAAGACAGCTGAGGAAGTGGCTGCGTTAATCCGTTCTCTGCCAGTAGAAGAACAACCCAAACAGATTATTGTCACCAGGAAAGGAATGTTGGACCCCCTCGAGGTACGGACATTTTCCTCAATAGAATACTCATTCAGAAGAAAAATAGGATGTAAAAATCCATTCATTTCATTTCTTTAATGGAATGATAGTTGTCTTTATATTTGATAAACTTTAAGGGAGGATTTCTTGTACTTGTTTGTGTATATTGCGGCCACTTATTCCTTCTATTTGCATCATTCCAATTTTCTGGTTGAATTAGTAGCAGCTTTTGAGTTAATGGCTTATTATATCAATCAATTTGAGTGGAATTGCAAGACTCACAGACGTCTGATTGAAAATGGAATGGTGCAAATGTATGCTATCATTGTCTCCGATACACATGATAATTTAAGAAAACCTCTTTGATCTGTACACATTAAGTATTTTTCATATCACAATACCCTTTAACGCATCCTTGAGTTTATAATAGATGAAAGGATTTATTATAAAGGGGAGAGAACTGCTTGGAAAAAACACCCGTAGTTTTTCATAAAGCTCTGGACACCTGAACCAAGCTACATTATTTACTCTGTTATAAAATTTAAATGATATTTAGATAGCGCAAGTAGTATGTCTTACAATTTAAATATCATTTCATTTCAAATTTTCATTATTGTGCTACAAAATTATTATGTTATTTTTTGTAGGTTCATTTACTGGATTTCCCAAACATTGTAATTAAGGGCAGTGAGTTACAGTTACCATTCCAGGCTTGTTTAAAGGTAAGTTACATTAATATTGTATAACATTGGAAAAGTTTTATCTCATACCATTGGACCTTGCATTATTAATCGAACTTCAAGTTTACAACATACAGCGTCAGTAGAAAAACACCTGAATTGAATGTCAAGGACGTAACATGTTTAAATGGTAGTAGAATGGGTCAGTCTAGAGCAAGTTTGGTTGTCATTTGCTAAGTCAACCCTCAATGTACGCAAAATTCTGCCACCACCAGTGCTTCTGAAATCAACTGTCAGCTATCACCAACATACTGTTTACTGTTATTATTTTATAGGTGGAGAAGTTTGGTGATTTGATATTGAAGGCTACCGAACCTCAGATGGTGTTATTTAATCTCTATGATGATTGGTTGAAAACTATCTCCTCATATACTGTAAGTTAACGCCTATTATATCTTGTGGGCTGCAGTGAGTTGCTTGCTCGCTTGTTAACCTGCATGTCCAGTGTTCAATCCCTACCTTTGGACTTTGGTTCTGTGATGCAGGTCATTGAGGCTGTCATGGGGAATGCCTCTAATGAGTGGATTGCAACAACAATCAAGGCCTGTGTTCTGCAGGCTGTACACATAAAAGAACCCTCAACAGTTAGAATTCGAAAAAAAAAAGTAGGCCAATGCCACTAAACGTAAACTTCCTTATTTTTCAGGCATTTTCTCGTTTAATCCTGATTCTCCGAGCTCTACATGTAAACAATGACAGAACTAAGATTATATTGAAACCAGATAAAACAACGATTACAGAAGCCCATCATATCTGGCCAACTCTCTCAGACGAGGAATGGATGAAATTAGAAGTTCAACTGAAAGATCTAATTCTGGCTGATTATGGCAAGAAAAACAAGTATGTATTCTGATATTTATTAACCATAAGATCATTATCCTGGAAAATTTCCCTCATTGCATATTTTAGGACTTAGCATGTCTCCTAACCCTTCAATGAGCTGAAGAATGGGGCAAACACATAACTACTATAACATCAAGTAATGATTGCTCTTAATATGTAATTTCACACTTTTGTCAATGTTACTATATTTTCTGGTAGCTAACTAGAAATCTGGGCCTCATTTCTCAAAAAATCTTCCGATAGAAATTTGTCATAAATGTAGAATTTTACATTGAGGAATACTATCCTTACACCAAAAATTGTTCGTTATTTTTTTTTTTTAGAAACAGGGCCCTAATTGGCCAGTATTACAAATGCCAGAGTCAGTTTGGCCATAAAATTTTGCATTACTAATAAATGAAATTTGATTTTAAATTTCAGTGTTAACATAGCCTCTCTTACCCAGTCTGAAATCCGAGATATTATTTTGGGTATGGAAATTTCTGCCCCGTCTGCTCAAAGACAACAAATTGCTGAGATTGAAAAACAGACAAAAGAACAGTCACAGTTGACAGCCACGACGACACGAACTGTTAATAAACATGGTGACGAAATCATCACCTCGACAACCAGTAACTATGAGACATCAACATTCTCATCTAAAACAGAGTGGCGAGTTCGAGCAATCTCGGCAACCAACCTTCATCTTCGTACCAACCATATTTACGTTTCATCAGACGACATTAAAGAAACAGGCTATACTTATATTCTACCTAAAAACATTCTCAAAAAATTCATCATTATTTCTGATCTCCGGGCACAGGTAATTTATTTTTTTATTCTTGCAAGGGGCTTGAGATTTCCCCAGGGCTGTTAACTTTCGTATCATGTCAGAATTTAAAATATCTAGATACAAATGATAGATACACAGAATTATATGTATAAAAAAAAAAGACTTATTATCAACTAATCTCTTTTTGATAAAAATAGTTTCGAATGTGACAATAAAGTCCAGTTTTTTGAGTTACAGACTGCACATGTGAAAGATTCCTCAACTGGAAAATATGAAAAAAAAAAGACAAAATTGATAAATTTCCCTCGTTGCATTCTTGTCAGTATTTTAGCCAAAACTGCAGAAGTAAAGTTGGATGTCAAATTTCATTTTTATTAACCAAACTCTAGTAGTAAAGTAGGAAATTAAATTCCAGTTCATTTTAACTTGAAGAATATTGAAGATCTCTATAATGTCTATTACAGATTGCAGGTTATCTCTATGGTTACAGTCCCCCAGATAATCCTCAAGTAAAAGAAATTCGTTGTATAGTTTTACCTCCACAGTGGGGAACTCATCAAACAGTACATCTACCTAATATATTACCAGATCACGCCTATCTTAAGGTTTGTACTATTCTTCTACTTTTCCTGCAAATTTTCTTGACAGTCTTTATTCAAAGCTTTTTGACAGTATTAAAGCTCTTGACACAATGAAAAGTCGCTTGACAAAATTAAAAATCGCTTGACAAAATTGAAAATCTTTAACCAAACTTACTTAAAATGAGACATCTCCTCACACAACAGAAGTTACTCTGCCATTTCCCAGGCAGTTAAATTTTTTCTTGACACAATGGATTCACTAAGTCCTAAATCACTTTTCTCTGATTTAAAAGTCCCTTGACACAGTTACTTGTAACTTAAGTAAAGTTTATGGAAATATTATGTTGTATTCTAGGAAATGGAACCTCTAGGATGGCTACACACCCAACCAAATGAATTACCCCAGCTTTCCCCTCAAGATATTTCAACTCATGCTAAGGTGATGGCTGATAATACAGCTTGGGATGGAGAGAAAACAGTTATCATTACTTGCAGGTAGGCATAAAGCTCTGGCTTAATGAACAAGAAACACACTAGCTAACCTATTGTTTATGACAATGATGCAGGCTCTGTGTGGTATAGTCTGTGCATTTTGAAAAACTAGACTTATTGCAGCTGTGTTGCGTTTGTAAGCAGGTCATAGCACAAAAGGAGATTAAAAAAGGTAATCTGTTTAAAAAAGGTAATCTGTTTATAAAAGGTAATCTGTTTAAAAAATAAAACCTTCAATTCAATTTTTCAAATTTTGTATGTGTATCAGGAACACTCAAAGATTCAATCTGCACCATTCCAATTTTCAGTCTGACATCTGTGATTCTTGCAATTCTACTTAAACTAAGCGGTTGATGATGTCACTAATTATTATTATCATTATTATTATTATTATCATTATTATCATTATTATTATTATTATCATTATTATTATCACCATTATTATCATTATTATCATTATTATCATTATTATTATTATTATCATTATTATTATTATTATTATTATTATTATCATTATTATTATTATTATTATTATTATCATTATTATTATTATTATTATCATTATTATTATTATCATTATTATTATTATCACCATTATTATTATTATCATTATTATTATTATTATTTATTATTATTATTATCATTATTATTATTATTATCATTATTATTATTATCATTATTATTATCATTATTATTATTATTTATTATTATCATTATTATTATTATTATTATCACCATTATTATCATTATTATTATTATCATTATTATTATTATCATTATTATTATTATTATCATTATTATTATTATCATTATTATCATTATTATTATTATCATTATTATTATCATCATTATCATTATTATTATTATCATTATTATTATCATTATTATCATTATTATTATTATTATCATTATTATCATTATTATTATTATTATTATTTCAGTTTTACCCCAGGTTCATGTTCTCTAACAGCTTATAAACTGACACCAACTGGTTTCGAATGGGGTCGACAGAATAAAGATACAGGAAACAACCCTAAAGGTTACCTCCCCTCTCATTACGAACGTGTACAGATGTTGTTATCAGATCGTTTCCTTGGTTTCTTCATGGTTCCATCTACCTGTTCCTGGAACTATAACTTTATGGGTGAGTGAATTGATTATTGGTTTGTCATTCGCCATGTTCAAAGCTGGTCTAAGTATGAATTTTATCATTGGTTGACAATATATATTTCTCTACATTTAGGAGCTAATTTTGTTTAAATCCGTACAGTAGTTTTCTTATAGCTTCCAAAAAGCATAACGAACTTAAAAAGTTTTCTTAAACATTTTAAATAGTTTTGGTTGGATTTGTTTAGTTAAAACTTTCAGATAAGTTAAGGGACACATTTCTGTAGATTTTGGTGTATCAACATTTCAAAAAGATCATAAAGCCCTTTATTATAAACTATTATTTGTATATTTCAGGTGTCCGTCACGACCCGAATATGAGATACGAACTACAACTAGCAAATCCTAAAGAATTTTACCATGAAGTTCATCGTCCCTCACATTTCCTGAACTTCAGCACCATGGAAGATTCAGAAACAATCGGTGCTGATCGTGAAGACATGTATTCCTAAATTTATTTCTAGTTCTTACAGTGCTTTTCTTCACACATTTCCTGTGCTATAATGTTTATTTGGTATTAAAATAGTCAATTCAACATCTTTTAATGAGTTCCACGTATTTAGAAGTTGCCCTGAAGATTTTATTACATAATAGCTAGTGCTATTCATTCATTCATTCATTCATTTGTTTGTTTGTTCATTCATTCCTGTTTTTGAATTCTTCATGAGCTAAAGTATGACAAAGGTTTAGATGTGTGACTATTTGATATTATAATATCTCAAAATTTTTGTTCAAAAAAGTGCTGATTATTTCATTAGTTTGTAATTTGTAAATATTAGAATTCTCTGAAAGTTATATTTTATATAAATGGTATTTTGTAAAGGAGAATGTGTACCAGCTATATAGAAACAACAATGATTGGTTTATATATTCTGTCTCATTCTAGAAAAGTTAAATTCATCCTATAAAAATAATTTTAATGATTGATTAATCATATAACTTAAACACTGGAATTATCTTTAGCTAAGGTTTTACAAATACTAGAAAAATACTTGTTAAATCTCTGAATTTTTGTACCTGATCAGGATTTCTCAGTAGCACATTCACCTCCATTAAAAAAAATTCTGAAAATAATTTGAAGATGTTTGTAAATATATGTATATATATAAAATCATGTTTTCTATTTAGTTTATTGTTTAAGATTTTTTGTACATTTTGAGGATTTTTAAAACATAAACACCACAATCTTCTTAACTTGGTGAAGATTATAATATAATCATACCCTTTTCACTCAATAATCATTTCAAAAAATAACATATGGTTAAGAAAAACTGAGCCAAGATATTTACGCTTTCAAGTTTGGTTCAAAACACAAACAATCTAGATTATATTTTGGTGAAATAAGTAGAACACAATATCAGTCTTACTAGAGTTTCAATAACTATTTAATACACCATTGAACAAAATATAATTCTGACTTGTATAGTTTCTATTAAATGGTTTATGTATTATTCCTTAGAATAATATGGCTTTATCAGACATCAGGTATAGGTTAGCCATTAAATGGTCATTCAGTATCTGTCAAATGCAAAATTTAATGACAGCTCTCTAATGAAATATAAAGATATTTATAAAATCTTTGCTAATATTTTTTGCCAATTTTTATGTTTTAAAACATCTTAAAATATACACTAACATCTTTCACAACTAATTTTCAATTTTACCCATTAAAATGTTTTGACAGAAGAAAAACAACAAGCAATGCCTGGAATGCAAATTGTAAATAAATTTTGAGAACTAAAATCTGACCTAGGAGGCTTGGTCTTTTCTATATTTTGATTTCTTGTAGGATAACCTTGAAGTCTTGGAAGAGTCTAGTAAAACTCAGGGCCATCTTTCATAAACATTTTCAATTTTGTTGCAAAATTCAACATTTGCGGCAATATCTATTTGAAGAATGGGTCTAAGATTCACACAATAATCTTAGATTCAAATTGAAAATATAATAAGCCGAGTTTAAGAAATACAGTAATCTGATTGGTTGGTAAAATTAAGTTTAGTGATTGACCAATCAGATAGAGAGAATGTTAAAATCATTTTAAAATTGAGAAACTGGCCAGATGAATTGGACTTTTTCATGACTTCAAGTATAATTCTAATTTCATGATATTTTGGGGCGAAAATTACATCAGAATTATATTGGAAGGTTATATTTAAGGAGAAAAATGATAACTTCATTTAAAACTGTTCATCGTATGTATACATTAAGATATTGAGAAATAAATAAATGGGGTGTGGCCTGGACTGGGGCCTGTTCCAAAAATAACAAATGTAGAAATTTCTGGCTTCTGTGGGCTGTTCATTTCTTAAATTGTCAGATTCAGATGAGATTGATTTGTCTCTGATCCTAACATATTGTTTGTTTCAATGTTATAGCCTATAATTTCTTACCCTGGATGGCATGGGTTCTGTGGGGGTCAATATAAACCCCAGGCTTCACCCCGGGGCTACAACCCTAGTTGATTTATGTAAAATTGTTAAAATAAAATGTAAATAATATCATTGTTTATATCATCAATAAAAGAACTTATTTCATATCTCTTAATTTATTCTATTATGCTGTGGCTAAATTTCTCTCATTGCAAACTCCACAGCTTTTGTCTTGTTTCTTCATTAGCTTCTTTATTACCTTATTTAGGAGAAGAGGGAAGGACTAAAGCCCTATTTCATTTTTGTGTCAGAGATGGGGACATTGTTTTGGCTTTTGTAGCTGTTCTCATCTCCACAATTATAATCAAGAGCATTCTGAAAACAGAAAACATCGCCTGTAGGTACATGCCCACCTCCCCCCAGAAAAAATGCTCCTCTTTCAATTTTTTTTTAACTTTTTACATAGTTAAAAGCCCCACCCCTCACCCGATGTTCCCTAGAAACGCCACTGCAGAGTTGCTCAACTACATAGGTAGGTGGGGGGAAGGGCCTCACACGGGAAATTTTCTAAACAATATGCTCGCTATAATTTTTTTCTGAGGTCCCGTGGACTTACTCAACGAATTCCCACGGTAGTTGAGCCACTGCATTGCCATTAAAACTATGCTGTTGACCTTGATATATCCGGTATGTGTCGGCAGCCACAGATAAATTCTACTGATCTACAATTAATTGTTATCTTGGTCGTTGGCGCCTTGACATATATTTGAATTATATAATTTAAAATTTTAGGTCGAATGATTAGATTGCATCGAGATTGTCGTGATGTCATAAATCGATTATATTGGTGGAATTGCAGGAACAACAGACGTCTGATTGAAAAGTGGAATGCTGCAAATTGATGCTATCTGTGTCCCAGATACACATACAAAATTTAGAAAGCCTCTTGATTATATAGTGTAAGAGATGTATGTTGTATAAAGAACAAATTTTCGGAATGAAAACCTAGCACCTGGCTGGTCTACAATTAAAAAAAGCTGATCAGGCGGAAGTGACAAAGGCTTTAACAGGAACATATCATTATGTTCTTATTGCATATAATTAAGATTTTTAAACAATCATAAATATCCACGTATGTACAGTCTGGATAAACAAAAAAAATGCTTTTTGATCTTTCTTGATCGGTCATTCTGCTGATAATTTTCTTCTAATTTAGCTAATATTGAAATAATAATGTGAGACAAACTGGTATTTTTCCAAGTCATTTTCTATTTATATAAGTATTAGCATTTAAATAAGGGAACCCATCTTTAAACATGCAGAAGAATTTCGTTTTGACAAGGAATACGGTTTATTCAATCAGCTGACAAAAATGTAGACGACAGAATCTCTTTAAGTTACATTGTAGCATTTGGCGATGTAAAATATAGATTATGGATACCTGGTACATTGATTATATCTGTTTCCCTATACTATATAATGTAATCGTACAGTGTGTATAGAATGAGTTAAGTTTCTGTAGAATCTATTGTTGAGATGGGGGTGGTAGGTCTCACCTGGCCTACTTCTGTTACATGTGTTATATATATATATTACTCAGAAAAGCTTCAGAATTACTTGTTTTCAAAACTTGAAGAAAATTTTGACCGATATAGAGGATGTTTATACTTTTAAAACATTTTTAAAAAATCGGATATTACGCATTCATTCAGAGCAGAAATAGTGGATTTTACTCTAACATTTTTAAAACTATGATGAGATTGTGATCTGAGCTAGCAGACGATTGTTATTCTACTGGGGGCCAAGTGAGAAACTCTTGATTCTGTGAAAATATTCATGATTCCGCCCCCAGAACTCCTGAAGGCATTGCGATTGTGGTAGTCAATTAGTGTCAACAAAGTTCGATTGTGTGTATTTGGATGTTAGTGTCTATATAAAGTCATTCGGGTTTAAAATTCCATTTCATTCCATTAGCTCATTAAGGTTAAGAAAAGCAAGATGTAAAATTTCTAGAAAGGTATTTAACGGCGGGGCGTAAAACTCTATTTCATTTGGTTTTCAACATTTATTCTATTATTGGACAATTCATGAATAGAGTTTCAGGGCTTGTAGTTTCATAACTTAGTATTAACAGACTGGTAGGGCAAGTTAGCCCTGTTCATTTGGTTGCACTGGTCATGTTGGACAATTCATGAAGATAGATTCGGCACGTCAGGATGGGGGTGGAGAAGAAACGACTTCGTGAAGATAAAACAAGGGCCAAAAACTGGAAGAGATGGGGCCCGTACCTTGCAGAACGACAGTGGAGCACTGTGAGGGAGGATTATTCCGCAGACGGTAATTGGTAAGTATCAGCATTCTCGGAAAGAATTTTTCTGTTTTATCGACGGCTTCGAAAGCACTGGTCGTGGAATCTCAAACGGTTTCCTGAGGGTGGGTTAGACCAAACCTACAGTCGTCTCACTGTTAATGATGTCGGTCTGTAACTGCCAAGCATCAGCATATTTGGGATACCTTTTTATCAGTTTTATGGAAGTTGTCGAAAGTACTGGTAGTGGCATGAGGTTTGGGGGGGGGGGGGGGCGAACCTAGAGTATCTAATTTCCCAAGCATATGACACGTTTCTAAATGTTAGCGATGATTAAATAAAAACTGACGGGAAATTTGTCTAGACGTTCGCTCTGACATTAAACCGAGGACATGGTTACAGGTTGTTCACATTATGGTATAAAGCTTTCACGACAAATAAAGTAGGCTAGTGCCGATGTCGTGATAAAATTCCCTACATTGTACACTGCATGGTGTTGTCTGTCTTCGATAGCCCAATTGGTAAGAGGGGCTGACATGGAAAAAGCGTCTAGTCGTTCGGATGGGACAATAAACCGAGGCCCCGTGTGCTACAGGCTGTGCACGTTAAAGATCTATCGACAGTTGGAAATCGAAAAAGAGCAGGCTAATGCCACTGTCCTGGCAAAATTTTCCTCATTGCACCCTGTATGCCGTTGCCCGTCTTCATTAGCCCACATGGTGCAGAAAAGTAGGACGTAAAACTCCATTCATTTTATTTTATTTCAATAGCCCAATTCAGAGTACCCTTATCGGTAATTGCGGGTTGTGTTGGATTGGATTTCTTTGGAAACCATGTGGACACGGCAGTCTTTACTAGACGGGGCTGTCGAGAAGTGGCGGCGCCGGCCTTCCGAGACTGGGGGCACAAATACGGAACAGATTGGCTTAATGGAAGAACCATTGTCGGGATTGAGATTCAAAATTAAACAGCCCTGTGGACGTGCCATAGGCGCAAGGCTCCCATGGAGCGTCTGGGAGGGTTTTTAATTTGTAGGAAATGTTGTGGGGCTACAAATCATGCCCCACGGCTAGAAATTGTCCAAAATTTATGCATGACTACAAGGTACCTCATTGCTCCCCAAAATTACAGCTTTGGGGAATAGTACCCAGGTTGGAAACCTCTGCTGTAGTGTGAACAGAGCTTGAGGACTATATCTATGACTATATTATTGGTACTATGAGAGACTGACCGAATTCTATTTATCAGTGGTAAGTTGGTATCTTGACTAAACATTGACGACCTTCAGACTGAAGTAGACTACTTCAGTATATATCTATCTACTTACGTAATATTACATAATGATACTGTTAGCGAAAAAAGGGGGGGGGGGGGGGGTGGGGGCTTTTTAAATATTATATATACAACACCGATACAGCATACGAGGTGTGGATGTAGAGAATGATGTGGTAAGTCTAAGGATAGATCTAAGAAAATCTCAACCAAATGTACATAGATACCTACACAATGTAACATACTTGAGCACTGTTATGAAGATAGCGGTTGAAAGTGGATTCTGGGCTTACACGCCTATACACGAAAGCACGGACCGAGCATTAGGATATTACTTACCCCATGATGATAACATAGAGGTCACATTTCTATGTAGAAATTAAGACCAACTTGTGTGTGACGTGTCCGATGATCTATTCAAACAAGGTCGTAAAGAATCCAATTCTTTTATCCAGTTGTCTATTTTTCAGTTGGGATTATTTCCCCCACGATCATGCCCGATCTCGAACGTATCGGTGGGGTGAGGATGGGCTAATGGGTATCACAGACAGACAATGTCGGCTATGCCTAGGTATATCATTATGGAACACTAAAGACAGGATTCTAAAAGAGAGACTGTTTGGATTGACAGGTATGCAGGTAAGAATATGCACGTGCATTTCTATCTCTGACCCACTTTCATCATAACTTTCATTTCTTGATAAAATGTGGGCGACCGCATTATTTTTTTTAACCGCTTTCTTCTTGTCAGTGATGCAGGTCGAAAGAGGCTGGCATGGGAAACGTCTAGTCGATCCGATGGAACAATTTGTTGGACACTGTGCACATTAAAGATCCCTCGGCAGTTAAAAATCAAATAAGAGTAGACTAATGCCGCTGCAAATCAGATACATACACTTGGGACGTTAATTTCATTCGCCATCCCGGTTGTCATTTAACTCGGGTAAAAAAAATCATACAAGCAGCAAAGCTATTCCGTTGATCCATATACCGCCCAAGGCATGGCAAAATCTAGAGTAATAGTTGTATAGTAGAGAAATTCATTCTTCAGGGAAACCATGGCGAGGACGTGAAAGAGTTATATTACTATCTAGATAGTACTCCAACACATTCCTATATGAAGATGTTATATAAATATCCTCATGCCGAGTTCCCATACAATCAGTTAGTCCACGAGAATGGGAAACGAACCGTCCTAGATCGAGAATACGAGATTACTGATACTGGTAAGCATATACTGTATAATTCGGTAAACAATGCACACATTGTATAATACGCACTTAAAGAGCTAAGATTCATACATTTCTTTTTGAAAATGACATTGGATATCGAGTATATGACATTATTGATACTGGTGAGCATATACTGTATAATTCGGTAAATAATGCGCACCTTTTACAACACGCACTTAAAGAACTAAGTGGCATTTCAATTGCGTGTACTTTTACATAGTCATGACTTGTTATATTGTTACAAGGAGTTGATATTTAGTTAATATACTATTATTAATATACAGTTAATATACTGTATATTTCTGTAAACAATGCGCACCAAGTACAATACGCACTTTAGTACTAAATGTCATTTGAGTATTATGTTCTTTCATATAGTCATATGTTGCAGTACAGTTTTAACTCTTTATCAGCAGATGCGATCATCCAGTTTAAAATAGCAAAATTAAATCACAGCATGGGAATTATTATCGAAAATCAAAATTAAATGTTACTGGCTCAGTCTAGAGAAAAACAACAGCCAGACATGAACACGTGGGCGTCATTTTCACAACCTTGTCCCGGTGTTTCAGAAAGAAAACCATAAAGAATATAAATTTAAATAGATGCGTAAAAGTCCATTGAATTATATTGTATATTCTAGGTGTCTTTGATAACGATGAATATTGGGATGTGAAGGCAGAGTATTGTAAAGCGTCACCTAACGACATCCTGGGTCGTTATACTATATATAACAGGGGCGATAACCCAGAAACCATCTATGTCTTACCTAATTTATGGTTTCGAAACGTTTGGTCGTGGGGCGATGATTGTGATGTAAGTACATGTGTAGTTGAAATATGGAGTATAATATAGGTTTGAAAAGGTTTCGAGGAATTCGGAGTAAAGGGTTTTTGTTTGAGGAATTTTTGAGGAAGTAACGTTCACTTCCAGTGGATGCTGATATTGCAAACTAGGTTTTTATTGATAGATGACGGGTTAACGTTCGCTTCCAGTGGATACTGATATCGCAAGCTAGGTAGTTACTGATAGATGACAGGTTAACGTTCGCTTCCAGTGGATGCTGATATTGCAATTGGTGGCCGTAGTTGGTAGTTGGATTGGTTCAAATTGGATGATTTTGTGTTGTTGGTTTGGTTGTTGAAAATATTTTAGCTTTGAAAGAAGGGAGTTATAGTCTGCGACAACAATTAGGGGATGATATTCAATTGCAGGCGTGGTTCTCGTTGACCATTAAGAAACGCTTTAGGATTTAGGGCGTGGTCTTCGAGGTCTTCTGTAACCATTAAAAGTGTGGTTTGCCATTGAAGGCGTTGTCCACGATGACCTTTAAAGGTATGATTTGTAGGCGTGATCTCCGGTGACCATTTAAGGTATGATTAACCATTGTAGGCGTGGTCTCCGGCGAACACTATGGGTATGCTTTATCATTGTAGGCGCGGTCTCCGGCGACCATTTAATGTATGATTTACCATTGTAGGCATGGTCTCCGGTGACCATTTAATGTAGGCTATGATTTACCATTGTAGGCGTGGTCTCCGGTGAAGCCGTTTATGTTTCAAGATAATTCTGGTAAAGTAATCTGTCGACTTGCTGATATGGGTAAGATATGTTTTATTTCTATGCATCTCACAGAGTCAATATGATTGTGCATTTTGAGATTCGACCTAGAGGAATGAAGAATGTAGATATATTTGACCTAGCTGAAAGACTGTGATTCAAAATAATATGCCCACTTTTCCTACATGCAACAAAACATACTGTAGAAATTTAGATTGTCGTCACGTGCACGTGCAGTTGATGCCCTAACTTAACTGAGAGCCAAGGTTGTGACATTCAAGTACAAATTTTAAACCAATGAAAACCTGGAAAAGTGTCAACCCCGGCCCATAATTTGAGGTTACCTGCCATAGTGAAGCATGGTAGAAACATAGTAATAGTTTCGGACATGTTACAGGGGCGATGGTAAAACTGTTAAAGCATGTTTGGACGGGGCTTAATTCAAACTATATTTTATTTGTAGGGGAGTTTAAATTTGAAGTGGACGTGGATCAGAATGGTGAGAAACCAGAAATTATTTTTACCGAGAATGAAACTAACTATAAAAGATTATTTGGTGGTCACAATACTTCAAGATATGTTAAAGATGCTTTCCATAACTACATCATTCACGGTAAGCGAAATGTTTAAATTGTAACCATGGTGACTATTGTAATCAAGTGGCATTGGGTAACAGTGGCAGGGCAAGCGGATGAAATTAACAAAGTAAGTCAAGGATTGGTCAAGTAAAATTGGTCGACGAGAGCATTGATATCAGGTGTTCCAAAAGGTAAAAATGCTAAAAATGTCTAATAAAAAGATTCATTCATTTATTTATTCATTCTTTCATTAATACACTTCAATCCATTCATTCATCTCTCTATTCATTCATTCATTCATTCGTTCGTTCATTTATAGGTTGTGGTTTTAATTTTGAGATCAATTTGTCCTTGAAGCTTAATTTCAGTTATTTCAGTTATTTGTTTTAATTCTGTTATAGTTTATCAATAAACTGATTTTTTTCTCACTCAGGCCATCTGTTCCTTATTGATCTCAACTAAAGGTAGTATCCCGCATAGATCTGAACAATGTGTTCAAATTGTTTAATTCTGCATCAAACAATGTAAACAAAATTTAAAGGATAACTATCAAATTTCATTGTTACTTTATGATGTTTTCTATCCAAGATGGCTGTTATCCAAGATGGACGCTAACAAATATGCCCGCAATCTAATATGACCGCTATCGAAGTTGGCCGCTATCCATGATGGCCACTGTCCATAAGGGCCTTTATTCAAAGTGACCATTATGCGAGATGGTCGCTATTCAAGACGACCGTAATCCAAGATTGCCTCTAACAATGGTCAATATCCAATATGGACCCTAACCAAGATGGTCGCTATCCAAGATGTCCAATATTCAATATGGCCTTAAGCGAAGATGTCCACTTTTCGAGATGGTGATTACGTCATGTATCTCAGATTGATGTTATTCAAGATTGCCGCTATCCAAGATGTCCGATATTCAATATGGCCGCTTTCCAAGATGGTCGCTATCCAAGATGGCTACGATTCAAGATGGCCTCTGTAATAAACTCCCTTGTCCTTTCAGGAGATAGGCACGCTGTGAATCCGGATAAAGAAGGGACGAAATGCGCCGCTGTATATAAACTATGTATTAATGGTGGAGAATCTTGCACACTCAGAGTTAGACTATATTTAACTGAGGAGACGCCAACCCAGACCTTTCAGTCGTTTGATCAGATATTCCGGGATAGAATCCACGATGCTAATGAGTTTTATGACGATGTGAGTACAGAATATAATAGTTCTTTCACTGTGTTAAATGATAAAAAGATTTTAAGTGGGAAGCTTAAACCGGACCGGCATCTATTTTGATAGGGGGGATGCCACTGCCCAAAAACAAATCCCGATATCCAAAGCAACATTTTGACGAAGCATTGGTAGAAGCTTATGAACTTTTCATGTGAAGAAGTATGCAAATCATAAGTAAGGAAGTATTTCATAACGAAAAGTGGTATCTAGAAGAGTAAGCGCTCCCTTTAAAACTCTATAGTTAAGCATATTTAATAGTGTTAATAATATTTCCAGATCTTACCTTTTAAACACGTAACAGAAAGAAATGTAGTGCGGCAAGCCTACGCGGGGCTGTTATGGAGTAAACAGTTTTACCATTACGTAGTGAAGGAATGGCTTCAGGGTGATAAAAACCACCCCAGACCTCCCCATGAACGATGGAAAGGCAGAAATCACGACTGGTTACATCTCTTTAATAGGGATGTCATTTCTGTCCCCGACAAGTGGGAATACCCCTGGGTAAGTCGGCTTTTATACAGGGGCAAGGTCTACTTTTACCCAGGGGCTAGGTCGGCTTTTATACAGGGCTAGGTCAGCATTTATACAGGGGCTAGATCGGTTTTCATACAGGGGCTAGATCGGTTTTTATACAGGGGCTAGATCGGTTTTTATACAGGGGCTAGGTCTACTTTTATACGGGGGCTTGGTCGGCTTTTATAC